AACTTCTAAATCTGTTTAAGATCTCCTTTAAACTTATCTAGCAGTGCTGGTTTAATAATTTCTCCGGGTTCCCGTTATTATACTACAGGGGCTGGGTTAACCACAGGGTTTACCACTGGTTATACTACTGGTGGTTGTCTTTGCAGTGTTTAAAGTTATCCCATAAGTCTTTGTATAGTAGCAGCTTATTATTGCATAAGGTTTTCTAAGTTCGTAAGTCTTATTAAGGCAGCGTTTTCTTATTATACTGCAGTAGGGTCCTCGTAAGTCTCATTAGGGTTAACGTCCTGTATTTAGTCGACTATCGTGTCTTATTACCCGTAGGTCTAAGGTAACCGTCTAAATAAGAGTTATTATCGTATAACGAACCGGGTCCTATAGGTACTATAGGTTAGCTGTTTCCAAGGGACAAACCTTAGAGTGGTTCTATAGTTTATATTAGCGGAGCGATTAGGTCGGTAACGGGCAATCTTATCACCAGCTAGTAATATAAATAAAAGTAAATATCTATATTCTAATTTAATTATATTATAAACGCTGTAATAACAACTGGCTATCTAAGTATTCTAATAAGTGACATAAAGTAAACTTATATACCTAGTTAGCTAGGCTGGATTATTTACAAAGGTTAATAATCCTGTCGTAGATCATCTCGTAGTTCTAATAATCCGTTCATGGATTATTAGATCATTGTAATAATCCAATGATCTATTCCTGATTGGTTAGTCGGTCCGTTATTTATCCGGGACCGACTACCCTGTAGGCCCATTGTCGCGACCATAAGAGCCAGGTCGTGACAGGTAGCATTAAGGACCAGACCTGGAATAGCTATGCCCTAGGACTCATTTGCTTGAGTTCAAATAATAATTAAAGTTAAAAACAAACTTACCTAGTATGGTGACGTGTCAATCAAGGTTGAATTGGCACAGCCATGGTCATTCGATACAGTAATATCATCAAACTATCAACAGTTTTAGACATACGTTCCATGACGAAGTATAGAATAAACTCACATTCAGAATAATCTGCTTACTAGAGGCACGAAGTGCCAAAAGGACAGCTGAACTCAGGGTACGAAGTAACGACATACTTGCTCAGTAAGTAAATACCAAGTTCTTTATGTTACTTTGCAGGAGTAGATAGAGAGAAGAAATGGGCAGAGCAGGGAAAATAATATTAATATATACTTGAAGAGTCGTTATAATTAGTTTCAGTCTTGCTATACTGACCTGCCTTATACGGTGCTGTACCGCATTAGCTCTACTGCCAAGGATAGCTATTTATTCTTGTTGTAATACGGACTTTTGCATCGACTGGGTTCGGGGGTGCGGACCGAGTATTTCTTCCGGTTGAATACCAGTGATAGACCGCGTCTTCCTACACCATAACTCCATAGCTTATTTCTCTAGTCGGATGCCAGAATTCCCTTTTCTGGCAATATGCCGATGAGTAATACTTAGTTCCCTTTTGATTCTTCTCTCCAGCGACTTTCGTGGTAATGTAGTCACTGGACCTTCCCAGTCTTCCCAATCTTTTCTTTTTGCTGTGACTATATAGGATACATGATTTTGGTACGTATTTTAAGAGGTCATTTATACCTTACGTAGGTACCGACTGGTACTGAGGAACAGCACACTTTATATCGCAGTGATATGCAGTGCTGCTCTTCGGCTCTACAGCCTTGGTACTAGGTACTTGACTAGTTTGACATAGGCATAACGGCCTTGGATCAAATCCGACGACTTCATCGGACAGTTAATCATGCCGCATACAGTGGAAAGAAAACCCCTTATTCTGTTATTATCGTCTATACACGATAATAATTTGTATACAGCGGGCGGCGCTGTTCTTTTCTCTCCACTTTGGTACCTGTTTCAAGACCTTACTTGCAGTAGATCTAAGCGCTAGTAACGTAGCCTGTAGACACGGACGCTTTTTCTGACAAGCATACGGAGTAAGAATACTTTACAGTATTAGAAGGTCGGAGGAGGGCCGAAGGCTTTTGTGAGGGACTGCTAGGATTGCTGCTTGAATATATAGAGATTGGTATAGATACCTAATCCAGTGCCCTACCCAAGGAGGTATTGTGAGCATATTCCAAGCACATCTCGTCAACTGATCTCGCAATGTTCTAAGTGGGGTCAACGCTCTCCCCTTGAAGATCTAAAAAAGAAAGAAGAAGAGTGACAATGATGCATCGGGCGCAACTATGGCAAAAGTGAATTATATCGAGGATGACGAAGGGCTCCTACGGGCATCAATGGCTCAGCAAGTGGAATACCCGAATAAACGTACATACCTAAACTATATACAGTGAGCCCCTAGGCTTAAGTTCAAAGTCAGTCTCTGCGGGGTTGGTTTGCTACGGCTTTCGATACGCTACGACTTTCAATAATCACGTGAGTATTAACTGTGGATGGGTTGGATGGGTTTGGTCTGCTCATTTGATGCTAAAACTGACAAACGCAATATTCATTTAGTACACTCGTTTACATGTCCTAGAAATTCGCAATAGCTGGCTTAATTCTCTGGACCTCCGGCTGGGTTGAAGAATAAATAGCCATGCCTTTAAACGGTCATCCAAACCCCGAGTCAATCCCCAGATTGCAATTCTCTCGCTTCAGGGAACTACCAACGGAGGCACGGCTCAAGATATGGCGCGCCGCTGTCCACGAAGCAACCATTGGTCGAACTATTCACGTGGAGGTTTATACACAGCTACAGGTAACTCTGCACTCCTGTTTCGCTTCTACAGGGATATTCTGCGGCCTCCACGGTAGCTGCCCGAGCTTTCGATACGGCAATGGCCTGGGAAACTGGCCATCTGACTGTATGGCCGATGGCTATTTCGCGTCAACCGACAAAGTTTCTAGTCCTGAAGACTCATATTCTGCTTCTGGAATAAAGAGTCTCAGCCTTGCTTGCCATGAGTCTCGCACAGTCGTCCTTGAGCTATATTCCAAGGCCCTCAGAGTGTACCAAGGCCCATGGCGCCAAGGTGTCAAAAGTCGCCTAGTCCGTTGCCGTCCAGAGACAGATGTCCTGGTTATCTATGCAGTGCCAGATCTAAGCCTGGGCCATCAGATTTTAGAAGGGTTGACTACTGAACGTTATTGGCAACACCAAAAGGAAGTCATGATGAAAAGGTTTCCCTGTAGTGACAGACAGTTCACTGCCTTTAAAGAAATAATATCCAGCTTTCAGAATGTAGCGATTTTCACTCGCATGGGTCGTGAGCGCGAAATCCAGCGGCAAGATAGACCAGAAACTGGCGTTGATGGGATTGCTGATGTCGATCTCGTTCACAGCACAGATCTGAGAGCACTACTTTATTTTTTTGCGTCTTTGAAGCAACTTTATCTCTGGCTCGATCCAGCCTATTGGCCCGATGTGTGGGACAATGCAATTCGAGTGGACGATGTCGAGGACCTACAGACTGCCAGAGATGCGGGCACTGCTCATACTGCTAGCCAATCTCTGCAGAATAGGTGGTTCGAAGCTAGAAATATGCAAGACGAGTCCAGAGACTTGCTACAATCTTACAATGAAGGGGTGGAAGTTCAGAATAATCACTTTGTGATTGATGGTGTACACTGGGTACCGCGAGCAAAGCCGCTTGAACGGATCGGGTGCTATTATCCTACATCTTGGTTACAATATTGAGCGGCACCTATGTTCCTAGGTGGACTATGATATCCGTTGAGACGATTATGATGATACATCAAACCATTAGCACATACGGAGTAGTGGTGGATGAAATACTTAATTAGGCTGTCAGCCAATAAGAAATGCAATGAGAAATCTTGTACGAAGTGGCTTGTCGTGAATGAAAATGGAGGTGTCGCTGTTCCCGCATCTGATGCTCTGGCCCCAATGCACGATGCATTTGACAGGTTCCATGTCTGATGCTAGCACCTATTAGCAGTATAATCACCAGGTACCTGTATCATCGATTTCAGTTGGTGTAAATAGCGCGAGGCGAGTCTACCCGGAAGTACAGCGGTATGGTTATGTATCAAATATTTGGCAGTAATCATAGTATCCCCATAAACTATAGGAAATTAATTGTATGCACTACAAGTGATTGGCAGGTATACTGCCTTTGAGCAATAAAGAAATTCGTCGATGAACCGAATGATCAGGAATGTGATTCAGCGAGACTGCAAACAAAATTACGAAAGTTAGTGAATGGTTCAAAGAATAAAATGCTGACGTAGATTAGTTTTGAAGGATATTCGGCGACTAGAGAAAATTGTAAACAAGATAGGGCATCAAATCATCTTGATTGGCACAAGCTACTTTGGATACGTTCGTATTTACGGCCTTGTTTGTTCAAAATTATCGAATGCCGTGTTATTTAGTCCCCGCTCAGCTCAGAAATGAGAAGTTTTCGCTTCATTATTGCTCAGTATGATGATGACTTGGTCGCCGATTACTCCGTCCGTGAAGGTGGGCATCCATCCTTAGCGACATAATACTCGAGTACGTGCAAGTGTGGAAGCCTTGCCAAGACTCGGTCACTGTTGTCAAATCAAATTCGCCCTCGTGGAGGTTGTTGGTGTCACCTAAGGCCTAGAATTTATATTTGAGGGCCCAACTGTGATCCTTCGGGCTAATTGTCATATCGAGTTGTTCCACTGCATCGGCGATGTAGCAAATGTAACCCAATCAGTATTGAGGTAGTTTGTATTTACTGAGCATTTCTACCTGCACAAAATAGCTGGCGCCCCGATGAGCAAGCCGCATCGTGTTACGCAGTTTCCTGCCCTTTTTTCTTTTATTTCATTCTTCTGTTATATAGGCTCCCACAGGGCGCCGTCAGTCGCGAAATCTGTTCGTTTTTGTTTGTTTGCTATCTACCGCACGGCTCAGCCTTTGAGCATCGAAATATGATAGACCCAACTGACATCCAATCTCCTGTGCCGGAGTCATTGCCAGACGCCAGCAAGATGGTAGATGATGACACAATAGAAACGACAACTGCGGCTACGGACACGGAGATGAATCAAGTGGAAAATGCGCATCTTATCAACGACACGATCAACTCATTCTCTTGGACCAATCTGGAAGTGGCTGTCAAGGATCGGAAAACAAAAGCGACTCTGACTATTCTCTCAGACGCAGCAGGGATTGTCAATGCCGGCGAGATGCTTGCCATTATGGGCCCCAGCGGATCTGGTAAGACTACGTTATTGAATGCGCTAGCACACAGAGCAGCTGCTGCAAATGCGGCCACTACTGGAAGTATTCTGGTCAATGGCCACAAGATATCTCTTCAGCAAATTCGTCATTTGTCTAGTTACGTTGAGCAAGAGGATGCCCTGATAGGTAGTCTTACAGTTCAAGAGACTATGGTGTTTGCGGCGCGACTATCCCTTCCAAAGTTAGTGAACCCCAAGTCTTATTATCGCGATGCATTGCCGGTGGTGTCATCTTAACAAATTGAGTTGCTAGTACAATAAGCAAAAAAGATGTTTTCAAACGCGTTGATGATCTTATAGCCGCCTTTGGTTTACGAGCTCAGGCAGATACTGTCGTTGGAACGCCCATCAAAAAGGGTCTCAGTGGCGGCCAAAAGAAGCGGCTTGGTGTCGCTAGTCGATTGGTCACAAATCCAAAGATCATTTTCCTAGATGAACCAACAAGCGGACTGGATTCTGCGCTGAGTCTCGAAGTGTGCACCTACATCAAAGCCATCGGTCGCAAGAACAATGTGAGAATTGCGTCCATTTATCAGTAACTATGGGCATTGCTAACGGCGAGTGATCTCGTATAGCTCATTACAATAGCGTCGATTCATCAGCCATCTTCCGCAACGTTTCAACAATTCGACAAACTGTACCTGCTGTCTGGCGGACGAACCTGTTACTTTGGCCCGGTATCAGAAGCGACCGCATATTTCGCCAAGATTGGTTACGCAATCCCACCAGAGACGAACTCGGCAGATTTCTTCCTCGATTTGATCAACACTGATCTCGATAAGAATGGTGACATTCGCCGTCGAACAGATCATATATGCCAGGCTTGGAAAACCTCTCCCGCTTGCAATAGCCTTGACGATGCCATCCAAAAGTCTATGGAAGGGACGTCGTTATATTCAGACCTCAAGATTGATCCCTCGGAGTCATGGAAAACGCCGCTGATACTTATTCACCGCTCCTGGATCAAGTCTTACAGAGACGTTATGGCCTACGGTATTCGCGTCGCCATGTATCTTGGACTGGCTATCCTTATGGGCACTGTCTTCTTGCGTTTCAAAACAGAGCAGTCATACATACAACCTCTAATCAATGCCATTTTCTTCGGCGGCGCCTTCATGTCATTCATGGCTGTCGCCTACGTCCCAGCTTTTCTCGAAGATCACAGCACTTTCCGACAGGAGCGCGCGAATGGGCTGGTCAGCCCCCTTTCTTTTATGGTAGCCAACTTTCTTATTGGTCTTCCTTTCCTATTTGCCATTTCTTTCCTCTTCTCCGTTGTTACATACTGGTTATCCAATTTCCGTCCAGATGGGTCTGCATTCTTTACGTGGATCCTCTGGCTTTTCCTAGATCTTGTTGCCGCCGAGTCTCTGGTTGTTTTGATCTCTTCCATATTCAACATCTTTGTTGTTGCATTGGCGGCAACGGCATTTGCGAATGGACTTTGGATGTGTGTTAACGGTTTCTTGGTCCCTATGAGCATACTGAATCCATTCTGGAAGTATGTATTTCACTACATCGACTACCAAGCCTATGTCTTCCAAGGCATGATGGTTAATGAATTCGCACACCGCGACTATCAATGTGATGAAATATCCAAAGGCGAATACCAGTGCAATTATCCAAGCGACTTGAACTCCATCGGTAAGATCCGTGGGACCGACATTTTGCGCCAATTCAGTATCAAGACAGGCCAAGAGGGCACATGGATAGGCATTATGATCGGCATTATTGCCGCGTATCGATTGCTCGCGTTTATCGTGTTAGCATGTCGAAAATAGTATATGAGTATTTCAAGAGGAGTTGTTTTGGCCTCGGACTATGGTTTCGGCCGGCGAGGATACTTTATTGTAGTACGCAGCAATACGTCATCTTGGAACAGATCCCATTTATGCAAACATATCCATTTCTTTCATAATGCCCCTCACGTATTAAATAACCAATTACTTGTCTCATTATTAGGCTAAACAAATTCATATATGTTGGATGGCGAAATACCCGAGCAACCGTCAACATATCACGGATCCTCGGTGTTTCTTTATGTCACAGTGCATAAAGGTAGGATTTCAGGATTTTCAATGCGACTATATCCCACCTTTCTTCTTTGCATGAATCCAGCATCCTATGAACAATCGTAAGTTTATTACTATGTTGAAATCAGCCAATTCAAAAGTCCCTCCCAAGATAGAGGAACTGTAACCATCGCCGGTGTGCTATGGACGTGATGATCACCAATTAACGAATAATCGCCCTAGTAGCTAATTCCGGGGAGTCGCGAAGGATTCGCGACTGGGGGTTTGCATAGGGGGCTAGTAGATTCAATTTAGCACGAAGGATCAGATGGGAACTGTTGGGGTTTTTGTACAACACTACAAGCATATTTACCATAATGCCCCTAGCCAGCTGTGATGTTGTATCAATAAAAACTGAATAAATACGTGGCGATTGCCAATCTCTTTTCATTTTTCTTCTCCTGAAACAAGAATTTTACTCTTTCTTCTTCTTAGACTGCTCTCATTGCCATCTAAATCCGGAAACGACTTTTTAAGCGGCTGTCCTAGTCGTTCTCCTGACCATGCAACTTTCTGGGATCACAGTTCTGGGCTTCCTGGCCACTGCTGCCTTTGCAACTCACAACCCTGGTCAATCATGCAGTGGCTCTGGCTATGACTGTAGTAACGACTTCCGCAGTATCGTGGTTTGCAATGGTGCACAGTGGGTGACTGCTGCTGCCTGTCCCTCGGCCTGCTGTGCATGGCCTGCAGGTACTCTTGCCCCGTTCTGCAGTTGCTGAGTATAGGTATGGATATTCTGCCGGTAAAATAATCATTAACTGGAATTATTAACAATTCCTGAAAACAGGATCTCTAGATTATATGAAATCTGCAAAAGACTGAAGAATGGGTCCATATTGGAGAGTCTGTGAAAGGCATGTCTTTTTGGTTCATAGCAATCGAACAGAGGTCTTAGCAAGAGAATGAGATAAAGCAGCCAAAAAGCATAACGCTGCAACGGTTTACTGCAATATATATCTCTGCTGCTCACTCCGTAGTTTTATACCAAGGCCCCCCTGTGAAATTCGTTACCCAGTGACATTCAGTTTCCTAAAAAAAAAAAAAAGAGTTGACATTGCACGTAGTTAGCGTAGGATTCTCCCGCTATTTGACTGCAAGCAGGCTGTGTAGCCATAACCCCGGAGACCAGCCACACTGGTCGCGTAAGTGAAATTGACTGGTCGTTGAGGCTCAGTAGGCTGATTGAAGTTAGCGCTGATTCCTTTTCAGGAGAATTACGAACCACCAACGCGTCCTGCGATGTGTAGCGTAGACAACGCCCCTTGCTTGGGAAATAGGATTAATGAGTATAGTTAGCATGTATAGCTAAGACTATATATATATATATATGTATATACCTATATGTAATGGCCATCACCTTCAGACTCAGACTTATATCGCCACCACCACTCTTTACGCTTACATCGTATTACCTCCGTCTTTCAGACCATAATATTTTGATATGAAATATCTCCATCTTGGTTCCGCAGCTATAGCTGTGGGTGCTTCTCTCGCATCTGCCACGGCACAAACATGCCCACCTCTTGGTATCGTGCTTCCACCAGCACAGGCTCCCGGTAGCAATGAAGGGGTTATATCGGCCACCAAGAAACTAACGGCGATTCTTGAATCGAAATTCAGTTCGCAGTTGAATTCTAGCGGCATATCACTAGTCGTCAAATCGACCCATGAAGATGTACCACTCTTTAGTTACCACTTCACGCCTCCAGTTCTATCAGGAATTGGCACTACAGCCATCAATGAGAATACCATTTTCAGGGTTGGGAGCTTGTCAAAATTATTCCCGGCGTTGGCAGCACTACAAACCAGCTCCATTCACATGGATGATCTTGTGCTCAAGTACATTCCTGAATTAAAAACCGCAGTGGCAACTGGCTCTGTAGAGGCAATTCCTTGGGATGATATTACTGTTGACTCCCTGATGACGCATCTTTCTGGTCTTGCCACGGATAGTAAGATGGCCTTTCTCCAGTACGTGAGCTGTGTTATTAATCTGAACTAGCTGCCATGGACTTGGGTGTTTTTCCGTTGAGCATTTGGCAAGATATTGGGTTACCAGAGATTCCTCAGGGCACGGGGCCAAATTGCTCTGGACTACCAGGCACTGTGCCATGCACAAAAGAGGATCTTGTCGACGAATTGAAGCGAAGAGAACCCATATATCTTCCCTACACAACTCCTTCGTATTCCAACGTCGGCTTTGCTATCCTTGGAATGGTCATCGATGCTGCGATTAATGAAACCTATATTAACGCCATCCAAAATAACATATTCGATGTTGTTGGTATGAACAGTTCCTCATTCAACGGATTCGTGGATTCTTTTCCCGAGGACGGCTTCGTGCCTGTTGGAGAAACAACGTGGAATGCAACTTTGGGTGTCTTTGAAAGGTAAATGACAAACCCTTCCGTCTACCTTCGCATTGGTCTCGTATGAAGAACAAAGATATTAACATACTCTTAGTGCTGGTGGAATGTTCAGCACCACTGCCGATCTAATCGCCTTTGCTGATGGTATCCTCATGAATCGTTTTCTTAGCCCACGCCGTACTCGCGAATGGATGAAGCCACGAAGTCATACTTCTTCCTGGGGATATTCGGTTGGCGCACCCTGGGAGATTCTTCGCACCGACCAGATCACGGCCGACGACCGAATTGTCGATTTGTACACCAAAAGCGGTGACCTCGGCCTATACCATGCTTTGCTTGGGTTGATCCCAGATTATGACATCTCTATTGTTGTCTTCGCAGCTGGTGCCGAAGTCAGTTCGGATACGACCGCCGAAATTTTCAGTGCTGTGACCGAGGCCCTAATTCCTGCAATTGATGAGGCAGGGAAGACCGAAGCAGTTACTTTACCAGCAGCTCTGGTTGGTACATACACAGATAAAACAACAAACTCGAGCCTTATTCTAAGCATCAATTCTGACAATACTCTGACTATTCAAAAATTCACCGTTCGAAGTTTTGATGTACTTCATCACTCCAGTTTATATAGCCTCGATGCTCTTTCAATCGGTGGAGGGTCGCTCCCTGAAGATACGTATGTGGATGCTCGATTGTACCCAACCAATCTTGTGGGCAAAACACAAGATGGCGTAAAACAAACGTCATGGCGAGCAGTTTATGATACCAGCACTGCGAAAGAGAAGTCTGAAGAAGACGCAAAGTTAGTGTTCAAAGACGGCAGCTGTCAGTCGTGGGCTCAATTGGACCGGGCCGCCTATAACTATCTCAGCATAGGAGATTTCTTGTTCAGTTATGGATCAAATGATGAAGTCACTCACATCAGGAATGCGGCATTTAACGTTACACTCACGAAAGCTTGTTAGCCGATTCCATTTATCTTACTTATCCTTAGCTAGGATATGTTCGATCACTCATTTATAACTTCTCCAACCCCGAATAGATAGATACAAAAATTCCTTTCATAGCGCGCTCGCTCGAATATTTAGAATGACATATTAATACAATGATATTTTACACGCCTAGCCTTAAGAAGGAACTGAATGAACATGGTACTTTCTCCTCTACCATCGCCCAGACTCATGTTAGATCTTGTGAACTAAGAATCTCTTTATTCTAAGTAGAGAAATCGAGCCATTACCCAAATATATATTTATTCTCATCATTTCCTTTTCATTTACAGATATTGTCAATACACTGATCAAAACAAATAAAATATTATATATGAGACCCTAATACTCTACCCCCATATTAGCTATCATCTGCGATGAGATGGTGGTAATATCTTATTATAAAGTCTCAATCAGTTGTTATGCGCTTTATAAGAATCGCGAACCATCATATTAACCAATACTATCTTTAATTCTGAGAAGTGCTAGCTTTCGATAAGATGCCAATTATTAATGGAGGGATAAAAGATAAGTCTTCCTATTTTTACAGTAGTATATTCCTATTTTTACAGTAATACTCTATACTATACGTTAAAGTTACCCCCTAAATCGTAATTACTATACCTATATACTAAAATATAGTATAATATACTAGGAAATAATATCTTTATATAAAATTATACTTAGTATAACTATTAACTATTAATTTCTTTTAAAAATATAATTTTAATACCTTTTAATACTTCCTAATACCTTAAATTAATTATATAACGCCCTATATACTAGTAAGCTTATTAATATTATTATTACTTAGCTAAATAACTAGGATAACTTTAATATAGTCCTTAGCTTTATTTTTATCCTTATCCTTATTTTTAAATTCTTTAATAATAGTAGTAATTACTATAAATTATATTATAAATATCCTCCTTTCTTTTTATAACTAGCTACTTATAATTCTTTATAATAAAATTCCCTAGCTATAGCTATAGCTATAGTTTTATAATAATCTTTATAAGCCTATAACTTTAAATTATAATAAATTATAGTATATACTTAGCTTTATATACTACTTAAGGTAATATAATTATAAAGTCTACTTAAGCTACTGTTATTATATTAATTTTAATAATTACAGCTATAAAGCTTTATTTTTATTATTATTAGCTATTAATATTAATAATATTATTATTTTTTTATTATTTAAAAAGTAAAGCTAGTTATAAAGGTTTTAGATAATATTAAAGTTATAAATTTAAAGCAGGGGTTTATTAATATTTTAAAATTAAGTAGTTAATAGCTTTTTTATAAAAAATAAAAAGAAATTTTACTAAAAGCTTAGTTAACTACTATTATAAATAAAAATTTTTTTTACTAAAGGTTTTACTATTTTTTAACTTTTTAAAAATTATATAGCTATAAAGGAGTATATATTATTTTATAAAGCTGCTAATATAAGGCTTTAGTAGCTTAAGTATTAAGCTATAGTTTAATAATATTATAATTATAGCTAGGTAATATTATTATATAAGGAGATTAATAGTAATATAATTAATAATTATTAAAATATTACTTAGCTAATCCTATTACTAAATAAAATACTATTATTATTATATTTATATTTTAGCTACTTTTTAATTATAATTTTTTTTTTTATAATATTAAAGTAATAATATTATAAAAGTATAAAAAATTACTTATATTAGTAATAAAAAATAATTTTATATTTTTATAAACTATTTTAATAAAATTATTAACTTTTTAGCTAAAGTTATAATATTATTTAATAAAGTAATAAGCCTATTACTTCTACTATAGTATATATTCCCTTAAAATATATTATAAAATATAGTTTTATTTAATATTATAAATTACCTTTATTTTTACTTATACTTAGTAAAAGCTATTTTTATCTTTAGTATAAATAACTTACTTTTAAGTATAAAATATATTTTTATAAAACTAAAGGTTAGCAGTAGGTAGTAAAGTAGTATAGTTATATTTAATAATCTTTTACTTAGTAGTATAGGCAGTAAGGTTATTATTAACTTTAATAGTAGTATTATTAATATAAGCTTAAACCTTAAAGAGGTCTTTATTACCTTTAGTAACCTTAGGCTTATTATTATTAGTTTTATTATTACTACTACTATTTTTACTTTTTTATTTTAATTAAATTTTTATATTAATATTAGTAGTAATATAATATATATATAATTACTACTAAATATTAGAAAATATAGCTTTAAGTATATTTTTAAATCCTATTTTTTTATTTATAATTATTATAGTTAACGTTAATATATAAAAGTCTTAATAAAATTCCTTAAGTTATTTATATAGTTAAAAAAAGTTATTTTTTTATTTTATATTAATAAAGCTAAAGGTAAAATTAATTACTAACTTTTAATTTATAATATTTATAACTTTAAAAAAATATATATAAAATTAATTAATTTTATATATATTATTAAGGCTAAGGATTTTTAAAAATTAATATTATATTATCTTTAACTAAGGATAAGTTTATAAAATGCTTTTAACTTTATTATTAATATTAAACTTAATATAGTAATAAAATTTATTATTTTTAAACTACTTAATTTATACTTAAGTTATTAATAAGCTATTAAATACCTTAATTTTAATCTTCTACTTATTATTATATATATTTAATTAATAAAAAAAAGTAGGTTTAATAATAGTAGTATTAAAGTTTTTTAAAATTTTTATTATTTTATATATAGGTAGGGCCTAGTACTTTATTAAGTTTTATTTTTATTATTACTAAGCTAAGGTATATTAATAATATATATTATATACTAAAGAGGTAAGAAACAGTAGATAATTATATTTATTATAAATAATATAGTATAATTACTTTTAATTAACGCTTTTTTTTACTATTACTATAATTTTATAAAAATATTTTATTTATTAAATTAAAAATTATTAAATTTTAGTACTTTTTAAAGCTTAAGTATTAATATAATTATAAATAAAGGTATAATATATTTAAACTTTTATATTATTAATAACCTATAGATTAATACTTTTTTTAATATAAAAGGTAATACTATTATAATAATAAAATATTTATAAAAAGCTAAAGAAATCTTTAAATAAGTTATATATTATTAATAATAATATAATATTATATTAAGTATTTATAATTTTTTTAGCTTATTATAATACCTTTATAACATCTTTAGCTTATTATAATATTTTTAATATATATATAAGCAGCTATAATACTTTTTTAATATATAAAAACAGTAGTAAATACTTAATATTATCTTTAGTTTAAATTATTACTCTTTTATTATAAAATTTATAAACTTATAGTTATTTAAGGTTAAAGCTATCTTTAACTTTAATAACTAATACCTTTACTAATACTAGTATATTTAATAATAAAAAAAAGTATTAATTTTATTAAGGCTAGTACCCTAGGAAAGCTTTAATAGTAGCAGTAGGTTAAGGGGATTATTACCTAAGGAGGAGTTATTATAATATAAATTATAATATTAAATATTATAATATTTAATAATAAAGCTAAAAAAATATAAAGTTAAAGCTTTATATTATATTCTTTTACTAAGTATATAATACACTAGGGTATTACACTATAATTTAATATAGCTTACTGGGAACGGTAGTATAGGCGCATTAATTTTAGTATGGGCACGGGCTACTACTGTAAAAATAGAAATATACTACTGTGAAAATAGGAAGACTCCAAAAGAAAAGCATCGTTTCCGTTGATAATCGGGAAGTTACTCGTCTGTGCATTCTTGGCCACTTTCCCGTTAATCCATCAAGTCCTACTACCGAAGAAAAGTTGCATGAGCATTGAGCTAATGGAAGCCACTCCCCGATATAGACTAGAGGAGTACGCGAAAGATCTATAAGGCGATGGGAGATTTCACACTCGCTGTTCTTTGGATGTTGCACTGTCTGTAGCAGCTCCGAGGAGAAAGCTCAACGTGAGTGGGATCCGCCGGGTTTAGATCAGTCGTACCGACGCCGCTTGTCCGCTGTTCACCAAAAAGCCAATTCTTGAATCATCTCTCGGTTTTAACCAATTGCGCAGAAAGCCGATACTTACAACAGAGTGTATTTGATGGCCAAAGTTCTTTGGGATATAAATAACAAATGATAAGCCGTCACTGAAAGTCGTGTAGCCAGCTGGAAAGGTCCAGATTGTAAAGACATTGCGATTCAGCACCCGAAAAAAATAGTTGTCTTCTTTGTTTCCGCCATATCCTATCAAGCTTCCAGTTGTCTTCAACAAAAGAAAAAGACAATCTCTTCAATAATAAGCTCTGTATAGACCTTTGCGTCTCCACTCATTTCTTGCGCATTGTAACAATGGTTTCAGAAATGTTCGCCATTGTCGGTGCAGCAGGAAAGGTTGGCTATGCCACGTCGCTAGCATTGCGCGACGCCGGTATGCCAAGTCAAGGCGATTTTGCGTGATGAGTCGAAAGCAGGACGGCTTACTGAAATCGGTTGCGAGATTGCTATAGCCGATCTCTTGGACTCCAAAGCTCTTGCCAAGGCGATTGGTGATGCTCATACAGTCCAAATTATCCTTCCACCATCCCCACAGGCTAAGGACCCTGCGGAAGAAATGCGCAGAGGAATCGAAAGCCTCGCCAGCGCACTTGAAGAGGCGCGACCGAAGCTCGTACTTGCAATTTCTGACTATGGTGCTCACATCACCAATGATATTGGCATGCCAACACTCTGCAGAACATTCGAAGAGCGATTAAGCAAGCTTGATTGTCACAAGGTATTCCTACGATCGGCAGAGCATATGCAAGGATGGGGACGTGCTGTCCCGAGAGCCATAGAGTCGGGCACTCTGCCGAGCTTTCATGACCCTCTCGACATGGTGTTTCCAACAGTTTCAGCTCCAGATGTTGGAGCGATTGCCGCTGACATCTTGCTACGGCCGGCTAGCGATAACTTAGTGGAAATTGTCCATGCTGAAGGACCCCGTCGTTATAGCGCCAATGATGTAGCGGCTGTCTTGAGCGAGCTACTAGGCCGGACAATCAATGCTGAAGCCGTGCCACGTTCGCGGTGGAAGGGAGCTTTTGAAAGTGTCATGAGCCCTAGCCTTGCCGAACTTCTTATCAAAGCCAATGACGCTCAGAACGAGGGGGGCTTGGTCGATGTTGAGCCGGATGCTAAGGAAGTTCGTTATGGGACCACGGAACTACTTGACGCGCTGAGACCATTGGTCCTGCCCCAGTGATGCTGAATCTAGAATGTGAGAAGCAGGACAGAGGTGGTGGATTGTGTGGATATGTAACATACAAAAACCGGCCCATTGATGAAATATTCATCACTCCTATCTAAGTACATGCCCTAGACAGGGTTTAATGATATTTGAATTCATACTGGAAGAGACATCTGGCGAGACAAAAGGCAAACGCGTTCTCTAGTTAGAGTGTTTCATGGGTCGCTTTGTCTGCCGTTTGTAGGTCAGCGTTCGGTAAAAGAATGTAGCCGGTCCATTTGGGTCAAGAGTGGTTACCTACTAATAAACGCTTGCCGAGGGGAATATTCAACTACTTAGTAGATGTGTAGATGTTCAGAGTACCTAGCAGATTTTACAACCCAAATGTATAGTTCGTTATAGAAATTGGTTATGACAGGTCTTTCACTTGTGAAATTGGTATCGTTGTAAAACATTGGGGAACCTTACCAATGATTTGGCATGATGAAATTGCAGTCTTTGTAAAATTCCTATTAGAATGGAAACTAATTACAAATGGTATTTATAATCTAGCGATATGCCATCTGTACGGACTTATAGAGTCGCGAGGGTATTTAACTCCGTTTGACCATTCATCAGTTGGTTATTTGAACTTTTATATTATGCGTGACTGATACGTAGGGTTTTCAGCCTGTAGCTTTATACAATACCAGAGCTTCCAGCGGGCTTGGAGCGGACCATGAGCGGATTGTAAGCAGACTAAGAGCGGAGGGCGGGCTCGTATATATTAGCATAGCCTAAGCGCTAAATCACTTTGTAGAAAGGGCACCACATATGAAGACAACTTTCTATACCTCACAGGGCATCCACATCTCTTGTCACAGTAATTTCAATCAGCTAGCAACTTTGCATTCTATATAGCTATCGTTGACGTATAATGCCTAATTGCCAAGAAAAGAATGCTACCATGGTTGGATGACTCCGTCCCGAGCAATTGCCTTGCCAATATCTGCATCTCGCTCACCTTCAATAACGGTTTTGATGAAATCCCCTCCCAAAGAAGGCGGCTGAGCACCACGCTGCTTCAGAACCTCAGGGTCACCCACCATGCTCGTTGCCAAAAGCCCAGGGGCAATTGCCCATGTTTTTACCCCGTCTTGCTTCACAGTAAAATTCCAAATAAGCATCAGCATGTTAATGGCCGCCTTGCTGCACCTATAGGCCTGTGCAGTTGCAAAATCCTTTTTAGGCCATCCGAGCTCAACACTTTGCACAGGTATGTGACTCTGTGTAAATCCGCCCATTGTAGACAGTCCAGATGTAAGAAAAAGCAGGCGAGGAGACGGCGATCGTAGCAAAAGGCTTGCCAGAACAAAAGTCACCATGTTTGTCCCGGAGACATTGATGTTGTATGTGTCATTGAAGACCGAACGGGCATTGGTAGCGTCAGTACCAATGAGGACGTCAAATGCAACACCTACACCCGCAGGTTAGCTCGTTTGATGAGCAAATTGTGAGACACTTAATTTCCTCCCCTGCATTATTGACAAGGACATCGACTCTCTCTACCCCATTTGTTCGCAATCATGTGCGCCGCTCGTTGGATAGATTCGTCATCAGCGATACCGATGTGTAAGCCCTCTAGTGTATTTTGAGTGGCCAGAACATGTTCGATTAGCTTGGCAATAGCGTCAGCTGCCTTGGACATGGACCGGCTTCCTAAAAGTATGTGGTAGGACTTTGTGGATTGAATCAATGCCTTGGCAGTCTCCCAACCAATCCCCGTATTAGCGCCAGTAATTAGAACAATCTGTTTAGACATTTTTAAAGGTGTTAGAAATGATATTCACAGGTGTAAATTTTACAGATTTCAACAGCGGTTACGTTCTATCTTTTATAGCCAGTTTGACGTGACCCCCTTTTACGAGAGTCTCCATCTGATAAAATTCTGCTCCATCTTGAATGGACCTACGTTGTTGCATTTTTGCTGATCGTTCAAAGAGAAACGTCTTACAAACAGTTGCTGGTAATGAGAATAAAGAGAAGCCGCTACTACCGAAGCTACGTCCACAGGAAGCCGGAGTACTTCTGTAAGAGGTATAAATCCGAGGAGCAATCATGATGTCGGTCACAGTCCAAGAATTTTCGGATCAAAGAATACGGAGTTAAAGCACTTCGTATGTCCATGATTGTGGCAGCCGCTTCTGGATATGCTTGTGAAGATTCATGCTAGGGGCTCATCAGGCGGGTCAAAATATGTCTGCCAAAGAGGCATGTGAATGTAAGTGTGAAATAGTATATATCTAGTAGATGCCTATGTTATGGATATAAATATGCCGCTTGCTCACGGGAGATGCCTATGCTTAACACAAAACACTTAGACTATAAAGTCTAACCTTCTAAAGGTACGTCGTTTGAGATTGATAACTACAAATTGATAAGAGAAGCTAATGGGAGATATTCTTAATATTTCATAGCACCTTCATTCACATCCAGAATGGCTTCACAAAGCGAATACCAGAGTTTTAACCCTGCAACTGGGAAACATCTAAAGACGTTTTCAGAACTGACAGACGAGGAAGTACGTTCTGCTCTCTCAGTGGCGCACGACTACTTTACCAATTATTGGCGCTCAACCTCGATTAATGAGCGAGCAAGATTGATAAACGGTGTGGCGAGACTGCTCCAAGAGCGTAGTGAAGAGTTTGCGCAGCTTATAACACTGGAAGTTGGGAAACTCATTGCTGAATCTCGGTATGAGGTGAAATTCTGCATCGACACGTTGGAATACTTCGCTACCAACGCAGAAAGATTCTTACAGCCGGTAAAGGTTCCCTCCAATCCAGGCTCTGAGATATGGACGGAGCCGCTGGGAGTTATTCTTGCTATTGAACCTTGGAACTTTCCGGTACTCCAGTTGACTCGAGTTGCCGCGCCACATATAATGGCCGGGAACGTTTTAATCGCAAAGCCCGCCCCGACAGTGCCGCAGACCTCGTTGGCCTTTGCAAAATTGTTCCGCGATGCGGGTGTCCCAGAGGGAGTGTATACAAACCTGTTCGCCACTGTTCCGCAACTTCATACCTTGCTAGAGGACTTTCGCATCCGAGGTGTCACTTTGACTGGAAGCGAGCGTGCTGGCGCTGCGATCGCCGAGAACGCTGGCCGCCATCTCAAGAAAAGTGTTCTGGAATTGGGAGGATCGGACCCCTTGATTGTCCTCCCTGACGCTCCTATTGATGATGCGATAAAGCTAGCCGTAGCTGGTCGAATGTTTAACACTGGCCAGGGTTGTGCCGCATCAAAACGAATCATAGTCGTTGGAAAGGACCGCGAGCAGAAGGTCATCGACGGTATGAAGAAGGCCATGGCAGAATTAAAGCCGGGTGATCCTATGGATCCCAACACCACCCTTGGTGCTATCTTCTCAGAACGTGGACTTCTTGGGCTATTGGCCCAAATTGAAACGGCAAAGGCAGCCGGCGCCAATGTCATACTGGGTGGGAAACGCAGTGAGCACTCCGGGTTTTATCTTGAGCCCACGATTCTCACAAATATCGCCCCGGAAAACCCCCTCGCTCAACAAGAGACTTTTGGTCCAATTGCTGCCATATATGGGGTTGACACAGAGGAACAAGCCATTAAACTGGCTAACAGCACGGACTACGGTTTAGGTGCGAGTATCATTGCAGCTGACATTTCCCATGCGAAGAAAGTAGCGGCACAGATTGAGGCGGGCATGGTTTTTATTAACGGCCCTGCTTACTCCAGTCCAGATTTGCCATTTGGAGGCATCAAGAACTCTGGATTTGGAAAAGAACTTTCGGACATTGGCTTTGGTGAATTTACCAATAAGAAGCTAGTCAGAGTTGCGAATTCGGCGTAAATGAATCTCTGTATGTTGTCTCAGCGCTTAACAAGATTTTCCACTACGTGTGAAGGAAAGAGAGAAGACAAGAGAGCGGAGCAATGAAGATACTGGAAGTATTTACAAAACATCGCCAATTATAAAGAGTTATAAATATTCTAAAATCTGAAGAACTCTTGTAAAATATTTTCCGCCTGTGAAAGTCACAAATGGCGATGCGACTCATGTTGCAGCAAATTTGCTCCTTCGTCTCAACGTCGCTCCGTAGAAATAGAGAACGAATATTCCAATCACACCTCCACAACTCAAGCCAGCCAACAAACTCACTCCTTTGCCGACACCAAGATTTATAAACAAGGGGCGTGAAAAATGAATTGCCCCGCATCCTATGCTGCTGCGCACAAAATCATTTGCGGCAAACAAACTGGCGCTGTACATCGGATAGCTAATTGCGATATAGATGAAAACGACTTGAAATATGATGAATATGCCAATCACGAATATCGTAATACCGATAGTGGGAACAATCCAGGGGATTTTCGGACTGGAATTTCCCGTCCAACCAAAAACAAAAAGGCCAATCGGGACAAGAAAGCTCGCGGGAAGGCCACAAATAAGTCGCCGCTCCGGCTCACCAAGGCCCTGCGTTTTAATCTCGGGCTCAAAGACGAATCTGAGGTATGCAACGTAGCAAATAATAGAGATGCAGACACCAACAGTGATGGATAGGAATATTAGACCGATTTCGCCAGCGTTCATGCCATAACCATTTGTTGGAGACGCACGGCCTGGGAGGCCTGTCCCGTATACAAATGGAAAGACTTCGAAGAATGAATAAAAGATTCCATACATGAGACCGATATATAAGCTGGTGAAAAGTACGGAAGGGTCAAATAAATTGATTTGCAGAGGCCTCCAGAGACTTTGCACGACAACTTCATGAACAGTGAGTTTGGCTTGGTCAATTTCTGATTGAGACTGTAAGTTGTTCTTCCCGGTGAGCCTGCGGAGACGCTGGGCGCGCCGCAGAAGAATGGTCGGCGTGGATGTCTCTGGCAGGAAAAAAAACAGGAGAACAAAGACAGGGCTAGCAAGCCAAAGAATTATCCATAATGACCAATGCCAATTCTCGGCTGGAACAGAAAAGCCAGACAATATTGGTCCAATAGCTGGGCCAGCAGTTGCAAACGCAGCCCAGCCAGTGAGCGCGTATGGCAGCTTGACGAGGTTGTAAATGTCACCGAAAGATGCTCCACCAGTCGCTAAACAAGGAGAGCCAAAGAACCCTTGTAGAAAGCGCAAGACAATTAGTGCAGGAAAGTTGTTGACGACCGCAGTTCCAGCGGAAATGGCAATGAAGATGCCAAAGGTAATAATATACGGCGGATTGCGTCCAATGGCTGGAATCTCGGAGAGGGGTGAAAAGACTAAAGGTCCGATGCCATAGCCAAGAACATAGAGAGAAAGTCCCATTGAAGCAACTTCTGGTTCTACACCAAATTGAGCTTCGATAAAGGGCTGAGATGGCGTTATGATGGCAGATCCGATATAGACAGCAAGAGTGTAAAGATATATCTGGAGAACCACAAAGAACTTCTTTTTGGATGACCAATTTTGGGGATTTTCTGGATCATCCGTCGAATACCAGTCAACCAAGGTGATTCCAGTTTCTGTTTTCTTGGGATGAATTGCAGTAGGATGCGACCTCACGTTCTCCTGGAGTGTTGCTGCTGTATATGCCTCTTGCAGACTGGCTAACGTCCCGACCCGAGACAGTTGGGGTCGAGAAACAATTTTGGAAAGACTTTCGTCATCAAGGTCGCTTCCCTCTGACGATTGTGTAGAGGTATCTACAGATGGTGGTGCAACTGAATGGCTCCGTCCATGATTCCTGAGGTCCTCCTCGGACTGATTGGCGGCCTCAAGGCCATGTGATTCTGTGATTTCTGTGGTCTCTGGCTCTGCCGTACCAGCATTCATATACAAGTGTGGACAATGAAACGATGATAGCTCCTCAGGGTATTTGAGATAGTTCCGCTTGGTTGTCCATCTAATTATTGCACCAAACGTCGTACCACGAAAGAGGGCAGCCATGGCGTAGAGTAGTTGAATTGCAAGTTCTATGGTTAGCCAATTGGTGCCGTTAATGGGTTTCGAAGGAAACCCTTTTATAACCTTTTGAACTGCAAAGGCTGCCGGGCCACCGAGGCGCCACCAGCTGCCTGCAACTGGCTACTAGGTAGTTTAGAGTTTACTTTAATTTCGTGCTCTCAGATCGGGCGGCAGTCAAAATCCCAGCGTTGGCTAGCGCTAGATAGACATGCATATGGGCCTATCATGTCTGAAAAGTATGTCATCCCACAAGCCTACTAGTTAAGCCTGAAGATAGCGTCATAAAACACAAGCGCTGTTTTTTTATAAACTTATTGTCATCCAATGTGTTGGCAGTTGTATCCGAAATGTGGGTTGGAATGGAATCCTTAGCACGGACTAAACTTCTACGTGAGACGGTAATAAGCGTAACACTTATCTACATTTGCACAAAAGCAAGCACACAGGCAGGAGGTGGCGGAAGGGGTAGTGAGTGCCTTTAAGGAGCGAGCATCAATAAATACAGATGGTGCCCTTGTTCATACTGAGATGGTGCATAAAGCTGTAAATAAAATGTGGAGAGAATATGGACTCTATCTGTATGCTTATTCCGTACCGTACATGTGCCTAGTAAATATCTATGCACCCTGTCTCACACACATTGTCTAATGGTAAGAGTAGACATGCGTGGAGATTTGCTGTCCATTCGCATCATACCTCTTTGGAATGACGTTAAGTACGCCATTAATATCCCTTGGCTCGTAATCGAGGAGCATGGCTGCCTGGACAAGAACATCCAGGCCATAATTCTCCTTTAGCCAGTGTGCAAACATGTCCATACCCGCGATAGCGCCAGATCCCGTCCAGATATTGCCATCAACAACCCACTTCGTATCTCTCGTCCATTTAACATTGGGGAACTTCTTTTTCGCATATTCAAATTCGACATTGTTGACTGTCGCATTCTTTCCGTCAAGGACGCCTGTCTCCGCTGCCACAGAAGCGCCGGTGCAATTGGTAAAGAGCAACTTCCCTGCAGCGACATGGCGACGGATAAACTCGGAGAATTTGGGATGCAGTTCGAAAGTGAGTGGGTTTGGCCCACCCATTAACAAAATGTCCAGCTCAGGACACTCGTCAACAGTTGTCGTAGGCACAATGCTCATGGAGCTAGTCAGGAGTACTGGGTCGCGAGTAACGCCAATATGATGAAAGTCGAATTGGGGAGCCCCATCAATAACAGCTTTGTCAACAGGACCCAAGAGTTGCAGGCCGTCGAGGAATTCTTTGGCGAGGGAGCCGAGAAGGTCGGTTGGACCAACCACGTCAACGACTTGATAGTCGTAAGCGAGAATACCAAATTGAATGCGAGCCATTTTTTAGCTTTGTGTCTTTAAATGGAAGTCAAAGAGATGAGGTGATGGTTCATGCCGGGTGAACTATGTGAATTGAAGGTACTTCTTTGGGAAATATATACAGCTGCGCTTCGACTTTGTCGGGGGAAAATGCTGCACTTTTTCGCTTGAATCCGAATACTTTCGGCTTTGAATGTTCAATTGGGCTTAGCAATGCGCCAAGAGGAATTGAATGATACATTCTGTTTGTTCATATGATGATATTGAATCCTTTTGTGCCGTGTCGGAAATCCGCTGGTTACACCGTTTAATCCAGCCCCTTGCGGAATTGAGCAATAGAACCTGTAGCCAGTAAGCCTTGTTCTAACTAACAGGAAATTCCTATAGGTTGGTGAGAAGAAGCTGGTTCATTTAATATTATGAAAAGACCGTATTAGCATTGGAATGTATCTCGAGGAAAAAAGCAATGTAAATGATAAAAAATTATACGAATGTCGAATGTTGTAACCACCCAAGGCCAAAACTGCTGGCTTCTTGGTTGGCAAGCAAGTTTACAGAATCGTGTTGGCGAGTTACAGAATGTGGAGCTTAACCAGAACTAGTTGTCCCGTTGTTACAGCCTGCACCACCAACCGCATCAGAAGTCTCCGTCTATCCGACTGCCATCGGCTCTTACACATAGGAGAAGCGGGGTTGAGCCGCTTCAGTCCGCATTCCGGCAGGGGACGCGTTCCTTCGGGGCTTGGCCGGGGTACATCTCCCTGACATCTAACAGTTACTTTAATACAGGTGGCATGTTTTGTTGGACAGTAGCAGAGATCTAGCGAATACAATGTGTGCACAAAAAGAAAAGGTTACGGAGAGGACGGCTTGACGGACCAGTGCTGCAAGCGAAGTACCTGTTAGTCAACAGTTGGAACCCACTCGCTGGGAAGTATAAATTGGGGAAACCAAACCATTTCATCAGCTTGATTTCCTTCATTAAGGGCAGTACATATCCGATGGGGAGACTTTATATAGATACAGGTGTAAAAGCTACTATCAGCCGATAAACATGCCAGAAGAAAACTCGAAGCAGGCACGGGATCTCGAATAGTATTTCGATGCCTGCCATGATGCGCTGATGACAAAAACAGAGTCAGTCTACCACTCTGGCAGCGCATCGCCATTAGCCCACCCCGCCGTCGTTGCCCAGAGATCCCGGAGTATCATGTCGTCGTCGGCACTCAGCGAAGTTGCTATATCTCCTGGTAGTGTCGCGGTAGAGATTTCCGTGTCAATTACTGACTGCCAAAGCTTCAACTGCTCATCCATGCTTCCGTCGAGCATGGGGCATCCTAGGCTTAACTTTTGAGACGCCATTTGCTGCCCATGTTCCAGGATGGAAAGCCTTTGGACATACTTATCTTTGACAATTCTCATGATAGTCCGCATTGCGGAGAGGACGTCAACCCTTGGTTTCGCACTTGGTATGGGATCCGAGTCTTTGCATAGTCGTTCCAGAATTTCTTCAAATCGTAAACGAGAGCGCACCCAGGAGGTGTCGAAATCGGGGCATTCAGGTATCGCGAGTGACAACCGTATACCGAGAATTACACCGGAGATAAATCTGCACCAATCGGCGGTGGAGAACTTGGTCATAGTTGCTTCATCAAGGCTTAGAATATAGCCAAGCAGCTTTTGTATGTTATCTACGCTGGAATACAGCTGGGATGCTTCTGGGGGTAGCGGCGGACGCCCTTTGATCAAGTGTAGAGAAAGACGTGGTAATCTAAGCAGAACGCCATCCTGCAGGCACAAGTGAACGAACAGATTTTGCATATAGATTACGGCTTTTAGAGTATCAGTTTCGGAAAATGACCCGTAAGTGGGATATTGGAATGGTTGGAGACGTTAATACATACGTGTAGCGGCAATCCGCGGCGGTATGAGGGACTCTATGTCCCGAAGCTGTGCTTCAAGGCCCAGTAATACCAGTCGGCTCTGCTGATGCGTGTGGCCTTTATCATCATTGATGGCGCGAAGGGCTTCGGTAGCCGTGCTGGATAGTCGAACAAGATATGCCAGCACGACATCGTTCTCAGCATTACTGCCCTCGAGAATCCTGCAGCAGCTTTCTGTCCAACTCGTAAAGACTGGGGGCTTGTTGCCACGAGCCTGCCACTCTGCGGGAATTCTGAAGTCCAATTAGAGAAGACATAGTGATGTGTGAGAAAGTAAAAGCCTGTAACTCACGTAGAGGCAAGATAGAAATAGCCTAGGTATGCGCGGATTTTATTCAGCTGTTGGGCCGTTGCTAGTGCGTTGGGGTAGACCAGATCGACAGGTGTCTCTTGGTCTAATTCCAATTCGTGAATAACCTCAGCCGCCATGCGAATGTAACGGAAGGGCTGTTTGTTTCTTGGACGGAGATGAAATGGGTACCTGATGCCATTGTGTCAATATTCATCCCATCGGGTGTCCGGCTGCAGAACGAAACCGTAATAATATGCATACCAGGCGCAGTAGATAAGGATACCCTGAAGAATCTCCACCGTTCTATCTCCACAGGCAACGAACTTCAAGCCCAGGATTTTCCTGAATTCTTCATCATATAGGCTATTGCCCTGTATGGTTCGCGACCCAGACGCTGCAGCAAGAATCGCCAGCAACACAAAGGGCTGTGTTGACGCAAGAGAGGAAACTGAAACGTCGGGGTCTAATACAATGCAAGGGAAATGACACAACATGGAGTGAAACGACGTCAAAAGAGATTCGGCAGAGGCAAGATTAAAGGACGGTTTGGCGTGAAGATCTGAAGTATGGTCGGCGGTATCTGTAGAAGATGTTGGAGTTGAGTCGATGCTATACATGGTGGCGTTGCTCTCGGAGAACCCAGACCCAGTGTCAGGAGCGATGAGGCTGTCAAAGAAGTCGGCGTGAGCGTCTTGGAGAGACTTGAAGTTCTCTTCCACCTCCACCTTTAATGGTATTGCGAAGTCAATGCTGAAGCTCTTGGACGACCCGGCAGCAGGCTGAGAAACTGCCTTGGGATCCAAGTTTTGATCCGCACTAGAAATTGGTTAGCTGCGTTTTGGAAGCTAATGAGATGTCACAACTTGACTCACATCATCCGCCGAGCCCTAGGCTTCGTCCTCACAATACATTCTCGTTTTGAGGCTAGACATCTGAGCGAAGACTTATCAGCGCCATGCCTTCATTGCGCAATAACGGTTTCCAGAGGGCAAATACTTGCGGCAGACACCGGGCTTCTCACTAGGCCGGCATCGGATTTTGTTATCTCGACAAGCTTCACACGCGGCCAAGATTCTCTTCCTGGGGAAGGCGTCGCCACTGCCTTCAGGCTCGGCATCGGCCATGGTGATAGCGTACTGAGAGATACCAATGGCAGTCCAGATAATCGATATCGTTTAAGCAACAGCTGAAAGGGTCATAGGTTAGATGAATAGTGCAGAGCCTATTCCGTGGATGCCAGGAACAACATGATAGGATGGAGCACGCTTTGACGTCAGGCGGTAACACGGGGAATATTCTCACCCTCCCGCTCTAAAAGTTCGGAAGTTTCCAAGTAGCACCGCGTAAGGTGGGGTTATGAGTCTCCTGTAAAATTAGGCCGAAACTGTGGTGCTTAACTATCAGCTCCTTACAGGCATAATCATACAGTACGAGTTTGTATATGCAGAGCCCCGCCAAACAAGGGACGCGGGCGGGGAAGAAGTTCGCGGAACAGGGAAGTGCATCAAGGAGAAAACAAAGTGGGTGCTGAGCACTCCCTAGATAGAATATCGATCAGAGACTTGTTGGAGACAGCTGTTCTCAAAGCAAATATAGGGCATCGGGTCTGTATAGAAGATTGGTTGAGATGAGCGGGCGCGCCAATGACCTCTCTTCAACTCTCTCCCTTCTAGGTACGGCTAGACTCGGATATCGCAGTCAACTGCTGGTCTAAGATAAATGGTAAAACAACATTTTCAGTCTACATATTAGCAAAACCTAAGCGGATATCCTTTACTAATATTTCCGGTCTCTCAAAAGCTCCAAAATGTTTGCCTTTGTCCACCGTGTGAAAGTGAATCATGTTTGGGTAACCCTTCTCAGACCACTTTTTAGGGTGCTTGAATATATCCTTCTCAAACACAAGTATCGCAACCGGCATTTCAACAGGTCCAAAGTCAAAGTTTAAAGTGTCTATCCTCCCAAAATACTCTTGATATGGAACCAGCACTTCGTGAAAACCAATGAACGCTGATAGTCCAACATCTCATCAAGTGTAAGCGCATCTACTGGATCACCGGAGTTATCAGTCCAGTCTTGGTATTTGTCGTAGATCCACATCGCTTGGCCCACTGATGAGTCGGAGAGAAGATACGCAATCGTCTGTGGCCTTGTACTCGAGATCCATTTCCATCCACTCATCTCGTTCTGCGTAATGTGGAATGCTTCCAATGCTCTGCTCTCTTCATCTGTCGGATTCTCAAGCGTTTTGGGGATGGCTAAAAGGAGATTAAGGTGAATGGCCACAAGGCCCTTAGGTCGCATTTGCGCCATCAATGTCGTTATTGCGGCTCCGTAATCACCACCTTGCGCAAACCATTTCTCATAGCCGAGGCGTTGTTCCATTAATGTAACGAGGGCCTTAGCTGTATGCTCCATATTCCATCCAATTTCTTTCGGTTGCTCTGTAAAACCCCAGCCAGGTAAACTGGGGATAATGACATGGAAAGCTTCGCCAGAGCGACCACCATTCGAAGCTGGATCAATGAGTAACGGGATGCATTTCAGAAACTCAACAAACGACCCCGGCCAGCCATGTGTGAGAAGAATTGCCTTTGCATTAGGCTCTTTTGGCCGAATGTGGAAAAAGTGAATGCTCAAATTGTCAATCTTTGTTGTCTATTGGGGATACTGGTTGACTTCTTGTTCAAATCGCCGCCAGTCATATTCATCTTTCCAGTAGCTCGCCACCTTCTGAGCCATGCTCAAAGGTGTACCCTGGAATGATCCATCGGTCACCTCTTTGTCTGCCCATCTCGTTTGAGCAATGCGCTGCTTCAAATCATCAATGTCTCCCTGTGGGATATGGAGAGTGAACGATTCCACCGCCGCGCTATCGTTTGTTTGGTCGTCCATTGCCGCGACTATTATTGCTTGTCGAATTTGGTGGCGCTTTAAATCTTTCATCCGCGGGCTTTAGGCTGGTTTATATCTTTCTCTACTCTCCTACTAAGACATTTCCACTAATTCACTACTTTCAACATCATTTCCAGTTATCTATCTCCTCATGCATCGGCCGATGCATTAGCTCGTTTTTAAAGTGAGTTCTGAACAACCATGTCAGCTTAGAGAAGCATATCATAGGGTTCTTGGAAGCATTCTTGCCGATAGGACAAATATTGTGGTTTAGTAATAATAAATCGCACTAACATGACAGGGTACCGGCGGCTGCATGATTTAGCAGAAGATGCTACTACTTCGTCAATTTGTCAGCAAGTCTCTGCTCGAGGACATCTGGTAACTGTAAATGATAATTATTTGTAAAGAAGAAAAGCGGAATGATTTGCCGTTCTATCCAGTGGAAGCTGTATTAAAGCTACCGATTTTATTGTTTTGCCTGACAGCCAAATTCGAGAAGAGATTGACGCTTTCTGTTGCGGCACTACAAGGTATTACTTCATATTGATCTTATCTACTTAGACAATTGAGCATCATTTGGGACCATGTTAATTCTGGTGTAGGTACCAAAACTATCCTCCTGTCCTGCACAGAGATTTGGTGTTTGGTACTCTGGACTCATTTTTTGCATTCACGGCATTCAGCATCTTTCTCTAATGTGCTGGTAACGGCGCTGTCTCCCTTATTCCGTAAATACCATTCTGGATACTTTTCAACAGGCCCGCTGTACAGTCAGATTTAACTAACTGGTAAGTGATGTTCCTCGAGACTAACTTACCTCCTATGGTCCATCTTCTGAAAAAGTTTTCCATTGTGAATAGCATATCCTCCATACCATCACGAGGCGTATAATTGTGAGAAACATCAATAGCTGCGTGAACACCTCGCAATTGGCAGAACATTCCAATAAATGAAACACGGGATACATCGATGCCTCTAATGGCATGGAAAGAGATTTTCGCAGTATCCCATATCATTTGACAAGAAGTTTGTAGTGCCAAGTTATCCAATGGGCTAAGCATAAAACTTTGTTGTTTTGCATGACTTTGCCGAAGGACAATGAGAGAACATATAGCTAGAGAAATAATGTCGCAAAGATACATGGAATGACTGTCTTTCGATGCCATCAGCGCGGTCACCAATGCTTGTATAGCATGGTCTACAGAGTTATAACTTTCGTCAACTTCATATCCATGATGTGAACAATAAACGTGGTGCAGAACCCGACCAGTTGCTAAGGCAATTTGAGCCATAGTATAAAGTTGTTGAGAGGGAGAGACACCAAACGATGCGGCCTCTCCAATAAAATGCCGTCGAATATAACGCTCAATTCCTTTGCTAAAAGGACTGTTTGGGTTGCATAGCGAAGGAATTGAGTTATCTGTACTCGATAGCATTATTATCCTATAGCAAGTGAGAAAGATTGGCCTTTGAATTCTTCAGGAAAGAGTCCCCACCGATCTAGGATAAGAAGCGACACTCTAGTCTGTAATGGAATATCGGTCTCAGGTGTATAAGAGTCTGATAATGCCACCATAGTAAGGGCAGAACTGAGTGTAAGTTGTGCTTTGTATACCATCCCCTGGCTACACTCGTATAGCGCAATTAGAGCCTGAATTTCGACCAATCGCGCATCCGTCTTCTCGTTTAAAGAAATCAGAGCCACGGTTAACTTCTTTGAAGCACTGTATAGCTTTTTGGGGCCTGCGGAAGTTCCGAGTTCGCAACGTTGGAGAAGGTCAAATAGTAACAATGTTAGAACGAGTAGAGGTGTTGTTGCATCTATTGCGGGAAGTTCTTGAAGCGTCTGAGCGTTCTTCCGCAGCCGTTCAATATCGATAACGGGAAACCAGCGGTGGATAGAAGTGGAAAATCTGTCTATAAGGCCGGATAATTCTATCCCGCTTTCTTGTAGAATATCGTTTGTCAGTTGTGTAAAATAATCCAAATTTTTGTCAAAATTTGTTGCCCAGTTCGAAATTAATTGCACGAATTCCTGCTCTCCGCGAGAAGATAGATCAAAAAAGCCATGGCATTCGGAAATAACCAATGGCTCGCTTCTAAGCACATCTTGCTGTGGAGCATGGGAACTGCTAGAAGAGAGGCTGTAGTCGCAGTGTCTCAGCTTTCTATGTTCAATTAAATGAGATCATTGTACTGCGAAACTGTATAATAAATAAGAAAGTATGAGGAAGCTCACAGAGTACATCGAGAGCATCTAGGAAGAGCCCGGTTGCATCGTTGCTTATGAAGCCGGCACCTAGAGCAGACATTCGCTGCGACGCTAACTACGTAAATGCCAGGAGCCATACCATTTGAAGACATGGAGAGGGAAATTAAAATTGGCAAAAGAGTATTCCACTATTGTTGTTGTGCTGATGCCACGTGGTTGAAGCATAACTTTGCCAAAGGTTCAAGAAGCGCTGTGAGCAATCGCGTTCCCCCTCCACGCGCCGTGAGACCAACCGGCCCGTGTGTCCGGCTGATTAGTTATTAGACTACTCAGTACCAGCTGCCTACCTAGAGCAATATTACAAAGCATTTTCATCAACCCTACAGCGCGAAAGCCTAAGCTTTGTAGGTGGAATTGCAAGCTTATTACATGCGAATAGACGTGTTATGGGGATAAACGCAAAGGGCGTGTTGTGCTGTCATTCTGAATATAAAGGGATACTTCATAAGAGCTGCCTAATTATATCATAGGATATGTGTGACAAAGATCTTTAAAGATTCACTGCTGTATTATATAAGAACTTCATTCAAAAGCATCGAAACTGTGTCTCCATAACCGCTTCACAACTGCAATCCCAATATATCTTTGAGCTCAACCACATCAACAAACTTTGGGAGTACCTTTGACATCAGGAACTTGTGGATTTCTGGATCATCGTCGACGATACCCTCTTCGACACAAATAATGTGATAATCCAAGTCCGCGCCCGCTCTTGCTGACCCTAAGATACTCCCCATAGTTGTCAGTCCTACCAAGACAACATGCCGAATACCACGTGCACGTAGATACGATTGCAGATCAGATGTACCAAAGCAGCTTGGTTGCAACTTTCCCAAGACAATCTCGTCCTTTCCGCCCCAGCCGCCAGGTGGTACAATCTCATCTGGAATACCATAGTATGGATGATGAGGATCAGAGGGTGCGTTTGCGAAATAACCAGCATCCTCGAGTTGTTTCACCCATTTACTGAGCTTGTTGTAAGGCGATACAAAGGAATTTGAGTTGATGTTGAACGGCAGAGTGTGATGAACAATGAGAGGCACGCCTTCGTAAGGTGCACCTCGTATTGCGGTGTCTTGATTGGATCGACGCTGCGATATTTCATCTCGGAAGAATCCAAGGAGGGTTTTGATGTTGTCAAGATACTGTTTCTGAATTTCAGGCGAAAAACGCTTCAGAATCTGTGTCTGCACATCTGAAAGAAGGAGAGCCGTGTGTGCAAGGTCCACCGGAATGAAGAAAGGCGATGATGACATGGTTACTTCGCTTGAGAGCCGATGTTGTATGTATTTCTGCCGAATTTGATGCTTTTTTATTCTCTTTGATTAATTTGAAAGAAAGGATAGTTGCGTAGAGGGCGATTTATATAGCAATCGGCTGTCTTATAGACAAAAGTGTGTAACTCTTTCTCAGCAGGGAATACCCCGAATTCCCCGAATTCAGCGTGTCACTAGGGGTGACATGTTCAACGCAGCATAATCCCGGGCCTATTAGGCGCTTACAGCGGTATTCCTCTGTCAACCCACTGATACCGTGCTCTCTGCCAGAATGCTCTCTTTCTTTCTAAAGCTGCATAGAAAGAAAGAGTCAGTATGAACACACGTTCGTCCCTACGGGACACTTGCTAGGTGATGAAGCCTGCATGGCGACTTGGAATAAGCCGGCCGTTAGCGTCGTAACATTGCTCTGTATTACAACTACACTGGCAAACACGAGACGGAACTACAATGAGTGTTTGATGTATGCTGACACGCAAAATGCAACACTGCGATTTTGAAGCAAGATCCCTTGAAATTTTTTTTCTTTGACAGAGAATGCATACAGTTGTACTTAGGAAGACAAATGTTGCTGGTGATAAATGTGAACCACCTACATCCATCTTGCGCAAGTATGTAAGACACGTGCCTGTAAGATGAGTATTGCCACCCGCATTCACACTATTTATGCTAACACTGTTTTACTGAACTATATCTCGTGATGGATATCGGATTACAGTTAGAGTATTCTACCTAACGTAGCATTTACATGACGTAATCCAGAGACATTGAACACAGTAGCGGCTTCGAGCTCGGCTGATTGAATCAATTAGAGCGGTTTATCATCGCCGTGACTGGGCCAACTTCTGATCAACAATTCGAGAATTAATCACCTAGCCTGATCCATTTTCTAAAGTAGCTATAATGGTTCTCTTACCAAAGCTGATTTACGTTTAATGGGACATCACGTCCCGCCATAGTACAGCCCGTGGAAGGGTTACAAGCATCGTGGCGTACTACCGACAAGAAATCAGAGCCCATCGAAAATTTGCGACCATAGCTCGGGTACTCCGTAGCTTCAGTAGAATTATCTCAGAAAGCGGGTTAGATGACTTTGTGCGCTATGGGGGATGGCACGTTATATCGAGCCTATTCAAATTGATAGACACGGTTATGTGCTACTGGAAGTGCACGGGCATTGAACAAGGCGAACTTTATCTGATAAAATCTGGGGTCTGAAGAAGCCATAAAGGAGATACACTGGAAATGAGATAAAGCCCATGTCTCTACAGTTGGTGCGACTTGGTGGAGGAATATGAATTGAGTTGACTTTGAGAAGATGGCTGTGCCTGTGGAGAAGCTGAACAGATTGAGTTTTTGGTTTCATCAAACATACCTGCCTTTACTCTTTGCAGATAGATGGCGTCGAGAGGTGTCACTGGCTCGCCCAGCTGAAGTTTGAACCATGACGTGTGTACAATAGGCTGGGTGGCTTGAACTCTAAGTGCGAGGTTACTACCGGCCGGAAGACTGTCATATGCTACATAAAGGCATTGGGGGGCTGTCTTCCAGTTTCTGGTATCGAATTCTACAACACGATACTCGCTTTTGTTACTCCCATATCAGCCCGCCTTATTTTTTTTCCATCTCCAGTACAGTTCTCGACTCAGTCACTACGATGTTCGGCCGTCGGCGAAGACCAGTTCTCGGCGCCGCCGTACTCGTCGGCGCATCCAGGATGGCTGCTAGACGTGAAGTACAGAGGCAGGCCATGATGGATTCTCAGCGTGAGATGGATATACAGCGTGAAGTTGATATGCGGAGGCTCCAAGAGGCGGAGATGGAACAGCGAACACAGCGCGCTGTCGACGAAGCGATGAAAAAGGCGGCTGCGGAAAACGCAGTTCCTCAACAGGATGCCGCTGTGATGGTGTCGCCGCCTCCCCAGCAAATCTACCATACCCCATCACCAATGCCAATGCAAATGCAATCGCCGCCCGGACAGCCCTACGCACTGGCACCAAACATGGTGCCTGGCATTCCGCCGGAGCAGATGGCTCGAGTCCCGTCTCCGCAGCCGCCAGCATACTCCTCAGAGTATCTACCACAAGATAGGCCGAAGAGTGCGCAGGGCATCGGCTCTGCCGCACCAGCTACAGAGTCAAATGTTCGATATTGTACAGAATGTGGCTTCGGTTGCCAAATTGGAGATAAATTCTGTAGTCGATGCGGCGCAAAGCAGGCCACTTAGGCTCAGGTTAACGCGACCGGCTTTTTATTCGTTATTCATTTGCTTCGGAGTATGAATGAGACTTTGATCACGGCGATTGTTATTTAAACAAGGGAGGTGGATTGACTATTAGTAGCAGCAATGCTATGTCTTGAGCTATTTGAATTGGACTTTAATGTATGTTTCTTGATGAATATGCAGCTTCAAAACGAATGACTTCTCATTGACATAGAGAGAAATACCGGACTCCAACAAAATGGTAGTCAATCTTCGTTCATTCGGTTGGTTGCATGGTTGTGTTGATCATATTTCCGTTCTAAGCAATGTATTTTGCATAAATTTGCTGCGTATTACAATATATTTCCGCTCCGCAAATCGGAATTAAGGATTGGGGTCACATTCAAAGTCGTTCGTTTTGTCCATTTTCGAGTAAGCACCTGTCTGTTTCGCCGCGACCGAAGCGAATCCTAAGATTGTAGCACATATTACGAGCGAAGAATGCCCAGTTGGAGTCCAATTTGCCTATCAAGTTTCTAGCCTTCTATTACATCGGGTTATACCCATTTATTCCCGTTGCTTCCGTTTACTTATGTCCTTTGTTGCAAGAGATCTAAAGTTTCGACTAATTTTCACAACATGTATCAAGCTCCTTCATTGAGCATTGGAAAAAGTGTCATCTATATGATTACTATTCCTCGAAGACAAATTATATGCTCGAACTCCGCTAGTAACGTATTGCGGAGTTATATTGCGGGAAGAAAGCAGGTCCCAACAAATTATTTCCGTTTATCAGTCCACCCTTTTCCCATCGCGAACTCCAAAGTACTCTTTGCCAATAACCATGCGACGATCATCTTCTGTGAAATTCTTCTCATCAGGATGTAACTTTGCTGGCAAGTCTGGATCTGCAAAAGTTGCTTCTAAAGCATCCATATCCGGAAAGATGGTAGTAACAACAGCATCGCAATCAATGCTTTCGACAGCATTGTTAAAAAGAGCTTGAATCTTTTCTTTGTTCTTGCGAGTTATAAATTGCTATTGGCTTTTTTAATTGCCCATCCCATCAACAAAAGACATCCTAGAGCTGCTTACCACGGAATACTGGAGAACATTGTGTCGAACAAGAATCTCAGCTACCATAGGGATATGGATTTTGGTGTAGTGTTGCTCAAATTCCTCATCTGTCATGCCATGTTTCTTTGTACCCAAGAATGTCGCCTTAATACCTGTTTCAAAATTCGAAGTCATCTTGTAGGAGAGAGTAGGGTTTGTGGCATCCACCCTGTAGTTTCACTGACTTCTAAAATGCAATGGGAATGTGTGGAATATAAACTTGAGAAACCGTGTGGGCGTAGTCTGGCTGTCTTGAGATGTCCTTTGCACATTCTTATAATGAGTGCAGAGAGTAAACCTTTTAGCAACGTAAAGATACGTCATCTTATTATATTGATATTAACGGAGATAGCCATTTCCGATGCAATACAACGGAGACGCGGAGTACATAGGTCGTATCCAACGGCCTCTACTTGCGGATTATGATAGCTGTGATCATAGGTACGACTAGGTTGACATGGGATCTATTCAATTACTAATATCCAGACATATAAATGTCATTAGTATGATCATCTGATACTGCATTGATGCTCATATAGTTACACTATCCTCGGCCAATCCCACTAACAGGACTGATTGTTAAAGGAATGTCGGTATACAGGCATTGACTTCGACTTAGCTACCAAAGCGGTGATTAACCGTTGTTGCAGGATTGTACAATACTGTATGACTGTTTTCATTATGTTTCACAATCACCAAACAGACGATGAAAGGTGAGGAGCTACGGATACTGGATATAATATAATAGCACGTTTGTTATTTTATTCAATTCGCTGGGGTGGATATTCTAGTCAGACAGAGCGGGATTCAACTTGACATCTTTTTCTATATTTAGCTTGTGAACTCTTTCAGATAAAGTTGTACTCACAAAGCAGCACTTTACTTCAAAATTACTAGCCGTATTCTAGATACTATTGGTAGTATTGAGGCCATATGTAACCTTACATCGATGGTCGAAATCGCGTGTTTAACACTACCTAGGACGCATACTAGAAGAAAAAAAGGTAGTTTCACCATTATTTGCAAACTCAATTTCAGGGGAAAAAAAATTCTTTCCTAGGCACATCCATGCCTCGAGTGTCCCGTGGTGTTCTAGAAAATGATTGGAGCCGATATTCCGTCCGTAATCCACTGTGTCCGATTGCGGCGACCCGGCGGCCTCTTCGCCGCAACGAATAATGATTACTTACAATCAGTTCAGTGGTACGGATACCCAGTTCTGAACCTTCAATGGCGCGCTTTCCTAACAACTGTCACTGTGATTATTTATTTTATCCTTAAGCCCAGGTCTACCCTTGTTGTCAGGTATTGCAGCCGTACTCCCAAAAGTACAAAGTTTGCCTAAAAAAACAGCAACTCCGTACTAGCCTAAAAACATTGCTATCTGTTCAACTTGCTTTGATGTCTTGACTCATGCATTGCTGCTAAGCAAGCTTTGCAGCAACTATACCTCTTATACCAGCGCTAAGTAGTCCATCGGAAGACTCCGAAACTCGTATTGACAGCCTTGGACGCTACACAGTCAACCAGAAGCGGTATCTTTATTCAAACACCGCTCAGGACACGATAGTGTTTCAGGCATCATTCTCGTGTTAATGCAACTCATGTTAAGGCTCTAGAAGCTGGAAATCCACTGAAATAAGCGCTAAGGCGTTCGCCGAAGGGCAGCTTCGTATTGAGAACCACAAAATGTCCTATCGCGAACGATTGATATTATAGCCAATGAAGTGGCGTGTCGAAGTTTGTCTATTCCATATAAAAGGCAAATTTTGTTCAATATCCAATCTCTATCATCTATTCCAACCTCTCAAGGCACCCCCGATATATTCACAGACTCTCATAACATTCCAAACTCCTTCGACCCCTTTTCCTAAATGCATCTCTATTATCTCGCCTCCGTGGCGTTAGCTGCACAGGCTCTCGCTGCTCCGTCACCAAAGTCTGATAATTCCTCAGCTCTGGAACAATGGCTATACAACAGCCAACTTGATGACCACGGTCTAAGTCTGTTGGATCGATCAGATATTGTTGGATTTCAAGCGTTGTATAGTTGGAAGTCTCTTGAGCCGGCTGAGAATGATTATGATTTCTCCAACATTCGAGATGATTACGAAAAGGTACTCGCCAAAGGCAAAAAGTTCTGGGTTCAACTTCAAGACAGGAGTTTCAATGCTTCTGTCGACCCGGTCCCCAAGTACCTGAAAACACCATACTACAACAATGGAAGCGCTCCAGCATGCGATGGAACTGCATGTGACACCAATTTCACAATCACTGGATGGGTTGCTCAGCAATGGAACCCACGAGTGCGACATCGTTATCAATCTCTCCTGAGTGCCCTAGCTGAAGAATTTGACGGCAAGATTACTGGCATCAATTTGCCGGAAACATCCATCTCCGTTACTGAGGGTACGAATAACTACACCGACGAATCGTACTTCCTAGGCGAGCTGGACAATGCTGGTTACGCAGCCCATGCTTTCAAGAAGAGCTACGCTGTGCAATACGTCAACTTCTGGCCCGATGGATGGAATAATACCAACAATCGGTTCACCGACTCTTTCAACTTTTACGCGAAGCATGGTGTGGGTGTCGGTGGGCCGGACTTGATCCCAAATAAACCAGGCCAAGAGCAAAACTCGTATGTATACATCCCGATGTATCATGATGAGGTACCTATTACGGTGGTGGCCTTTCAAGAACCAGATCTGAAGGAGATAAACAACAAAACTGGAAACCCGTTCACAAAGGAGGAACTTGTTGATTTTGCCGTTAACGAGCTGCATGTTCGCATTGTATTCTGGACGGTTCAGGCGCCTTGGTTGCAGAGCAGCTAATCTAGCTAGTGCAATTGTGATGGAGAGAACTCCCTCACCGCCGGTTCTCTGGTTTGTGCGATCATAGTTGTTAGAAGTGCGTTTGTCGTATGCTTCTAATGAAGCTTGATATAGCCGAAACCACCAACGTTTAGATAGAAATTCTCACCTTCATTCTTTACGAATACAATGGGAAAAAACAACTGCGTTTTGCAGAAAAAGGGAGAGAACAACGTATTATGAGTATCTCTTTATGTTAGATGTTTACACTTTCTACGATAGCAATGATAGGAATCTAGACGGTCAGTTTATATATATGGGTTGAAAGATAAATGACGAGGTATGTCATAGAGTAATAGAGTCCCCTGTAGCGGTGAATAACTATTAGAGCTCATCGTGTTTGTTATCCGCATCAGTCTGACTCATATTGCCCCTCTCTACCGGCAGTTTATAGCCACCCCTCCAAAGTCTGTCAAATATTCCTGCCGCATCATACGCTTTCTTTATCTCTTTCATCTTTTCCATATCACCAGGTGTAACAGAGCGTTCATATACAGGCTGGTTTCCATCGGCGTAGTTCAGATAAATGAAGTCGTTCAGTATACCTCTTTTACGAGCCTCAGTCTCAGCTAAAGTACCAAGTTCATAAGCTGCTTCGTCCAATGCAGCGTCGTCATCGGGGTTTGCCCACTCCATTCGAATATTGTTAGTGAAAATTGAAAGCTATGAGGATCTCCTAGTACTTGCTGACTAAGTCATCCTTCCCTTGCCCTAAAGCATTGAAAATTGGACTTTCTTTGGCTGCGTTAATGCAGCTCTTCTGAAAATGTTGGACCGCTATACTCCAGAGGATATTTTCACGGTCATCATGAGGTTTCATGATACTTTCGCTCTTCTCGAAAATGTCCATGAAATATTCCGTATCGATCTTTGTCGTGATTGTGTGCCACCTTGTTCGTGTTGTGGCCGCGAGAGCACCGTCAACTACCTCACGTACTACTTTATAGGTACTTCCTGTAGTCTCTAAATGCATAATAGGCGCACTGGATGTCAGTGGATCATGGGCGATTCCAGCTTCATTAACTTGCACTGCCAGGGCTAAACTCATGCCCTTGTTTCGCATTATAGCGACTGATACCATGTTGTCTTTGTTTGTGTCGTCGTGCCCCCACTTTTTAGATTGTGTGTAGAGTTCTGACGCAAGAGTTGGCGTGAAGGGATACACGTTGACGGCTCCCCATATCGCAGAAGACGGATAAGTACGCATGTCGAATCGAGTGACAATGCCATAATTCGTAGAGGGTAGTTTCATTGCCCAGAATAAGTCTTCATTCTCAGCCTCATTTGCGTTGACAATTGTACCATTAGAGAGCACAACCTCGTAGTTGATCACGTTGTTCACACCAAGCCCCTTCTCAGCGGATGCGAAGGCGATGCCACCTTACCATGAATGTCAGTAGCATGTCAAGTTATTCGGTTGTTCTAACAACTCACCACCTAGAAGGAAGCCACCAACCCCAACTCCGCTAATTCGCCCTCCAGCCGTCGAAATATGATGCGGTTCCAGGGCAGCATAAACATTGATCCACGTTGCGCCAGGGCCTAGTTCAACCATCTGGTGCTCATGTTGAATGCTAATTTCATTCATTGACCTTAGGTCAATAAGAAAGCCTCCATCAATGTTTGATGATCCCTTCCAGCACATATGCCCCCGGATGCTACAGCAAATGGAAATTGCAAGGAATTTGCGATCTGTAAAATACGCGAGACGTCATCTGTGACCTTTGGTCTTAGTACACATTCTGGATGAAGCTCCTGTTGTTGCTTAGAGTAATATCCGGCATTGCGAGATTCGTATTCTGACGATGATGGGTAGTGAACAAGACATGGCAACTCTTTGTGTAATTCGTTACACTACCTTTTGGCGTTAATTGAGGACTATGAAAGTGTTGTAATATGTGACTTACACAACTGCTACCCAACTCCGAGCTCGTAACAGATGTGCCACCTTTGGCTATTGCACCCAGGCGGTTTGTAGAAGTCACTAGAAGTAAAAGTGTGAAAGGGCGCATACTGGAGGCAAGTTGCTTTTCTTTTTCTATACAGGAGAATAAAGAAGATGGAGGAATTCTGTTATGCGTTTCACGTCGTGATTAAGTACTTCTTAGTGACTTCAGTGGAGTTTGTACAAGTAACCATTCGGACTTGTCTGTAAGGCGAAGACCGGAACAGTTGCTGCCGAAATTTGAGACAACCCACAAGTAGTCAGCACCAACATGTAAAGTAGTTCATCTAACGAGTCTACTCTCCAACATGTTAAGTTTGCTAGTGCTGATGCAATGTAACATTGAAGTGTTGACATATGCTGACGTTGCCAAGCCTTTGTCTGGACCTTTGTCTGGACCTGAGTCATGGCTGATGCCCAACGAGGACTTAGAGAAGCCTGACAATAACGTTCACAACTGGAAGAAGGTCTGTCCATTTAACTCAACTGTATTGGAGCGTAACAAAAGATGGAACCCCGGATTAAGAACATCAACCATCCTGGGTAAACGCGAAGCATAATTCGGTTTCTCAACAGAATCAAGATCAAAGCCTTGGCCTTTCTGTAAGAGCGGCACTTCGGTGTTATGCGGCTTAGCCATAATCGCCTGAACAATACGAACTTAGGTATTAAACAAGGTATTAAACGTTGAGAGGGAACAATGGTGTGGTCACAGTTTACTGTGGGTGGGGTAATCTAAATGAGCACTACTAAACAAGATTCCAAATAGACTTAAACGTACAAAAGATCATATTCCTTTCCAGTTCTCATTTACCAAGGCTGATATCACATTCAGATTGCTCTGAATTGCCAAGTCTAAATTAAGAAAACAATATTAAAACTCAGAGGCGATCATTATCCAGCTCATATCCAATAGATTAAACATAGTGTCTTTCTGGATCACTTCCTCTGTGGGTATATTCTCCAAGATTCTCAAAAACGACATGCTGTCGTCGCTACTGGAGGAACAGGTGCTTAGACAGGGATCCTGATTGCCAGATTCTTGAGATTTCCAGTTCAAGCAATGCTTGAAAAATTGCGTCATTTTCCAGAAGTAGTCGCGTCTATCTTGCCCATGATCTGACATTGTTCCCATCGTCAACATTTTATCGCGGAGAGCGATAAGATATGTCGAAATGTCTGCGAGTTCACGTAATTGGCCAGGCTCGCTCACAGTCACGCCCCCAAGTGTAGCTGCAGCGAGCACAAGAATGGCATATAGAAGTTCCGACTCTTGAAACAGAACAGTAGTTCGAAGACTTTGCGGAGATAAGAAGACATACTCGTTGATATAAGTCTGCGCCGCTCGAATGCACGAGATGGCGATATTAAGTCGTGGCAATGATGAGCACCAGTTGCAACACATTGTACTGAAGTCAAGATTGACCTCATGATGTGGCGGGGAATGAAGGCCAACTTCTTGTATGTATATCTGGATATAAAGGCATTTCCTTTGAATTAAGCCTATGGCAATGAGCATCTAATAAACCCCAGAGGAAGAAGAATGCGATTGCCACTTACTGTTTGCTTTTGCCTCAGGCGGAAAGCTCTTGACTAGTTCATCCAGCTTTTCCTTGAATTTGTTCATCATTACTTGTATCTGCATATGATCCACAACCTCCAACCACCGGATATTGTTATACTGAAACAGCTGATCGATTTCCTCAGCCAGTCCTTGCAATTGCACAAAGCAAGATAAAATTTCATCGGATGCTGTGAGTGAGACATAGGGCAGCAAGATACAACAATCGGCGACAGTTCTGCAATATTTAAAGTGGGTTGGTTTCCTCATTGCCAAAGAGATACTTGTGGTGGAGATATTAGCCATACAGTTGAGCAATGTCTTTAGTCTACTCACCAGGAGTCAACGTAGTAGCAAGCCACAAATGTTCTCATCTTCTCGATGATAAAGTAGTATTGCCCATTTTTGTCAAAAGTTCCGCGCTGCTGAATTAAGGTGTCTTTAATTGAGTCATCGGGCGGAAGTTTGAGCTCGGCTGCCATTGTAGTCGCCATTTGAGATAACTGGTAAATCTGTTCCTTAGCAGGATTGAAGTAGAGATGATTCCTTTTAGGCTAACGTTAGTGTGTACGTAACAATTGAAAGGGAGATATTGTAAATATTACCAAGTAAGATATACTAATAGCCCTTGTAACAAGTCTAGATTCTTCTCGGCATTCACAATCACTCTGTCGGCCAGCATCTTTCGGAATTCTACCTCCAGTCTAACTTGAAGATGATCTCGAGCGCAAGCGGCGAGAATTGCAAGGAGAAGGCAAGGTCTCTCCAACCGTAGGTAATCCAAGCTAGTTTCAGGTGGAAGCAGTACAGGCGAGAATTCTTCAGAAGCAGCAGCGAAATCGGCTAGAAGCTGCTTTGCTTCATCCGTGGTGAGAAATCCCTTTGCAACCACATCCTGGCGAGCAGTTGGGGATAATGTTGTACATTCTGGTGAGCTATTTGCCCCTAGAGATGTTGTTGAATCTACATTGGTTGGAGACTGAACTTCCCTCGCGGTAGACTTTGCAGATATCGACGATATGAGCGTAACTAGTCCGTCGATCTTCTCCTCAACAACTTTCCTCTTCGATTTCCTGTAGTGTGCTAGTCAGTCTATAATGGTAATTAATGGGTAAATGCAAGAAAAGAATAAGAAGTAGAAGAAGAACATACGGCATCGATTTGGTTTGTCGAGGTCGAGCAATGGCGCGCTCGAAGATGCAAGCCGTCCCATTGACACTACATCTAAGTCAATTGTCAATGATATGCTCTCCTCTGCACGGGGAAAAAAAGATATTGGAATCACCTTTCGCATAGTGGAAATGCATTGCTGCTATCTGCTTTGGGAATGCACCGGACCTTTGACCTCCGACATGTCTCACAGGACCGACGAAGATGGCCCGTCCTTCTTCTGGGCTCAACCTCTGCTCCGCCACGTGTAAACGGAGAACCAGCGGCTTTCTCCATTGGAACGTAGAGAAGGCCTAGAGTCCGAAATACGATACGACTGCTGTCAAGAGGAATTTGCGCAACATTGCAGGCGCGCCTCTACCGGCTACTGTTGGACGTCGTTTAGGGGAAGAGTTGGTACTGGCCAAGCTGAGATCGGAATCTCGGAACCATAAGCATGTGCCGAAACTCCGATTTGTACACAACACATTAGCGCAGGACCGTGGACACCTGCGGCACCGAACAAGAATTCAGGCGGAGACAAACAGGCCCGCCATACAGATCATCACGCTATTACACTCTACGCCAGCGGTCAGGTACGCGAATGTCGAGAAGTGAAACAGCTCTTCCTCATATTAAAACAATACTATCAACTTCCAATATTCTCTCGCACAAACTGAATCCCCATACCATTGCTCTCCGCTCATAATTTGCCTGTGTACAGACTTTAACCCCCCCCCCCCCCCCCCAAAAAAAAAATTGCCACCTGTGTCCTAGTAATAATCTCGAACATGTTCGTCACACAGATCCCAAAGTCTCTTACCAGTATTCCTCTCCGCGATTCCAGCCTCCACTTTTGGGACGGTTGAACCGATCTGGCCAAATGGAACTACAAAGCATCCATTTTTCTTGGCAACTTCGTCGGAGAATCCAGCGTAAAGCTCCGTTAAGGCACCAAATCGTACCGGATGAGCCATCAAATTGTGGAAAGCCTGTAGGAACCATGGAGCGTGACGGGCAATATCCGTCCTGATAGCCCCTGGATTAAACGCGCAGCTGGTGATATCTGGATGGAGCTTGGCCATCTCGGCTGCGAGAATTGCGTTACCAGCCTTGCTCTGCATGTATCTCATAGTACGGCCTTTGAAGCCCCCAAATTCAGGAGAGCTTAGCTTCCAATCATCCCACAAGATACCATCTTCTCCTGGCGGTACTACGCTGTCACCAGACCCGGCCCAACAAACTCGAACAGATCCCTTTACCGTAGCAGGATTTCGTGATGTTTGAAGCATGATTGGGGTCAGAAAATGCTGGAATAAAAAGGGGCCGAAAACATTGGTTGCAAAGGTCAACTCGTGGCCCTGCTTGCTAACGCTGCCTTCTGGCGCAAGCATAACAGCTGCATTATGCCATATAACATCAAGGCGCGTTTCAAGCTTCAGGAAGGACTCAGCTGCTGCCTTGATACTGGAGAAATCGCCGAGATCGAGCGCAATGAATCGAACAGTGTCTTCATCTTTAGCAGATCGTTGCTTCATTCCCGGGGGAGCCTCCGATGTCTTGATCAGCCCAATCGCCGTGTCTCCTGACTGCGCAGATCGTGAAAGAATATAGATTCGGGTCGCATTGGCATGATATAAGATCTTGGCCAACTCAAGACCTATGCCTCCAGTACCTCCAGTGATGATAAAGACCTTTGCATAAACATAACAATTAGATCAGCGCTCATAAAGAGGGAAGGTTTGTTATTAATTTTAACCTCACCTTTCCTTTTAAGTCAGTCACATCCTTTTCCAGGAGTGCTGGTTTGGTAGTAAAGTAGCTCCTCAGAAAAGCCATGGTTGTGTTGTTCAGTAGCGAATACTGTATTTGAAGGGTCGATATGCCAGAGAAAGTCCATTATTCTCAAGCAGTGTCTTTATACTAGCTCTTCGGAATATACTCTCGGATTTTCGGGACTGAACATCGAAGCAATTACCGAAACATCCAGCCCACACATAAGCTCAGGTATCGGAGCCTCCGACAGGCAATGAGTGATCAACTCATTCCATTGGCCTTGAAAAACGATTCACGAGCGCCTTTCCATGGTTTCCGTTTCCCTTCATCAAAAATCCTATAGACCTGTGGCACAAACTTTCCATCCAAAAGTGTTTTGTATAGACGATAATCTGTCAACCACAGCCACCAGGATTTCCACCCGTACCCAATTCTGTCCTGAATACCCAGACCTGCCGCCCTGTCAGCCCATATAGTCCATTCCGTGGTATTCACAATGGCAGGGTCGAAAATCTCGGCTTCCTTTGCCAGTGATATCACCATCTGATTTTGTGTGTCGGCACTCTTTGCCATCTCCCTAGCGGACGGCAACTTTGAGGCTCCGAGCCACACCTGGGCCAGGGCCATTGACGCCAGATCCGCGTTGATCGAAGCAGATAAAGTGGGACCTACGGTCTCTGAGTAGGCGAGAGAGTCTGGGAAATCCAATGAAAAGATGCCTTGGTAAAGCCTTGCGAGAGGTCGTCCCATAGAACCACGAGCATCTTTCCATGCCTGGGGCATATGCCTAGAGGGATCGTAGGGACCTAGCAGTGAAAAGGACTTGTTGTAGCCAATTGCAAATATTATGGCATCGACTTCCAGTTTTTTCCCGTCTGTAAGTTCTACATGGGAGTCAAGAACCCGGCTTACCCCGGCAACCAAGGTAACAGTTCCAGATACAAGAAGGTCATGGAATTCGTCTCCAATGATTGGTAGCTTATGAGGCATTGCAGGAGCGTTAGCAAGACCCCACTCTGGCCGCAGATTGAACGCTTCGTCTTGCATTTCGAGAAAAGCTTTGTGGAGTATTTGGCCTTGTTCAAAGGGTGGCCTTTTGATGGCTTTCCGCTGCTCGCGGAGAGGAGGGAAGCATACATCGTTTGCCTTACCGTACGGCAACTGCGTAGTATATCAGCAGATACTTTGACCAAGTTGAAAATCATTTCTACCATCAGACACCCATTTCGGTGAGATATGAAAACTTGATTGGCTCTACCAGCAAGACCTCTGGCAATGTCTGTAGCCGTAGAGCCAAGTCCAACAACCAATACTCGCTTCCCATCGAAACTCTTTGGGCTAGGAAGCTTCGAATTAGAGACCCAACAGCTTGGCCATCGTACTGCGCACAGGCATCCTCGTACCTTTCGTATGTATGAGCATTTAGTATTTTACCTCTGAATTGGTCGAGCCCTTCAACACGAGGCTCTTTTGGTGTTTGGAAGAGTCCAGTACAAACGACCAGTCTATCAAACATTTCCTCTTCTCTTTTACCTTGTGCATCCGTAAGCAATAAAGACCACTTATCCCCAACTCGACTGACGGTTGTCACTTTTGTATTGAGTCGAAATCGGTGAACAATGCCAAAATGCTCAGCATATGACTCCAGAAATGCCTGGTTTTTTTTTGGATAGAGCGGGCCATCAGATGCATCTAGGAACTTCATTTAAATATCAATGTGTGTGAAGTTAGGCATGCAATTGAAAAATGTTAGACGTACCACCAGCATAAGGAAAGTCAGAGAAGCCAAACTGTAGAATCAGCCACATCCATTTCTTCAAGACTATCAGCTCACTTACCGTATCCCTCCGACCTAGCGCTCTTGTATCTGTCGGATAAAATGATGGTGAGATACGGAAACTCAGTAGGGGATGACACAGCTTACTAGATAAGCAGCTTGTCCTCGCATCCTCGGTATAGTGCCAGAGGCCACCAATTGCATCGGAAGCTTCGAAACCAGTTACATCAAAACCAGCTTCAGTCAAGTTCTTCACGGCCGAGATTCCTGCAATACCTTTTTGCATGCTCAGTTAGTAGTGTAACGACAGTAGATGTCTTCGCTGTTGGGGATGGGGTTAAGATGCAATCCAGCTGAGGTAGGCCATAATTCTTACCCAGTCCACAGACGGCTACTTTATTTCCCGTGATTTTCTTTTGCGTCATTGCTTTTTAAGGTGGAATAATATTTCCCCTCGTAGCTATGTGTGCGGAGTGTTGAAATGCGGATGTGAGAGCAACGGTCGTAAATCCTATGAGCAAGATGATGCAGCAAGATATAACGCAGATATCCATCGTAAACCTTGGGGTGTAAAGCTTGTTATATATTATTAAATGGTCTCTTTATTCGGGTTGTCATCTGGCACAATTTCTTTAGGTTCATTCTACCGCTCGTTGCCTTTGCACCAAGTTGAGTAAACTCTGACAACAGTTATTGTTACCTATGTTAAACACCATACAATATGCTTGGAGGTACATTCTAATCGCCCTTAAACTTATTCGGGCGGTGTGCTGACCTGCTAGTGCTCATCTTCGGCGCTGAAGGAACTCCCTTTGCCAGTGATTGGACACATTCCGGCACAACGGAGAAGTAAAATTTCTTTGTCCTCCCGTTGTCATACAAGTCATAATTGTGTCGAGCACATGAGCCAATCCATGAGCAATGCCCTTTTTGGGTGTTGGAGATCCCTCTAGGTCTTCGTAAGATCTCCATCTTCGGCGGGAGCGGAAAATGCAGCTCACTATTATTCATTTCGTCATTGCGTGCATAGTGCTGAGGATAGCACTAAAACGCTCTATGAGTCGTGAGATTTCGTGTTTTTTACATGTCGCAAAGCGGTTCCCGAAAAGCTCACATACCAATTTGCTGCGTATCTCGGTGCACTTAACAAACATTGCGCATCAATTTGGATAATTGTCTTTCAGCGATTAGGTATGAGTGTCTTTGAATTACTGAATCTATTGGTATATAACAAGACCTGCGCCGTGTTGATGACAGCATAACACGGACAGCCAGCATGCCAAGCAAGTACGCAAAGGCCACCAACAAAATCATCTGTTGCGACTACACTACCCTTTTCAAGACAACCCCTCATCTAGTTTATCAATACCATGTAGGTTTTGCCAACAACGATTTTAAAATCTGTGATGTACTTGTGCATATATGTATATATATATGCCAACAAGAGAAGATATTAGAATTTGGACGCCTCATATCGGCTTTTTGATCTAATAAGCTTTCCAAACTTGAAAAAAATCCATGGAACTGGTAAAAGTGCCACTGCAAGAAAGCCAAGTAAGCTGCTTGCCCAGCCAATGCCCAAGTTCCTGCACACTACAATTAATGTGTCAGCTGTATTACAATACGCGTTTAAACGAGAAATTACTTACTTTGAGTAGTGAAGAGTGGAAATGCACCGGAAAGAATATATCTGGCTAGACTATTAGCGCTCACGGCGCTTGCAATGGTCATTCCCTGGTAGGTGTCAATTAAGTACTGCAGGCTGCCTGTAAACAAACACAAATTGCCCCAAGTAAATGGAATGATAGCAACTGCGGGACTGGCCCAAGATATATCGGACTTTGAGGTCCAACCAAACCAAAATAGCCCAAGAGGGAGACCGATACTACCGATCATAGCAGCATACAGCCGATGCTCGGGAGGTACCTGGTGAGGAGGATATTTTGCAACTTGGGGAAGGTAAAAATACTTGTTGCATAGTATAAGTGTGATGGCGCCCAAAACACAGCCGATGATGATGGAAATAAACACCAAGCCCACTTGCTCCGTGGAGAAGTGGTACACTTCTTGGAACACATACGGTATTGCAGCGAAGAATGAGAAGAGAGTGGCGAACTCCAACGCCGAATACAAGCAGAATAAGGTCGTAATTGGCTCAATCGCCAGCATGAGTAAGGGCCGAAAGAGCGCAACAGTCATGAAGAGCTTCAGCCTCATACGGAGAGGTGGCGGCGGTGGTATCGGCTGGCCAAGTTGCTTTGCTTTGCGTTTCTTGAGAATCGGATGAAACGTCTCTCGGCCGAAAATAAGACCAAGAAGAAGGCAAAAGATTGAAAAGAAAATAATTGTCCACTGTGTCCATCGCCAGCCCTTTCTGTGCGTAACAAAACCTCCAATAACAGGACTACACCGATGACAGTTAGCTCATTTCTTCTCTCTCTCTCACTCTAAAAAAAGAATTGGCTATTCATCGCCATACATACCCAAAACCTGGCCCCAGCAAAGGGGTCGTAATAAAGAAGGTGGATGGTATGCCTCGGTGTTCCGGCTTATATATCTCGTTGAGAGTTCCGCCAGAGATTGCCAACGTGGGGGCGAAGAAGAGACCAGATAAGAAGCGAAGAATGCAGAGTCCAGCGAAATTTTGTACCGTGCCACAGCCGATGGCGAAAAGAGCTCCAATGAGGACGCCTATCATGAAGATGTAGTATCTACCAATCGTCTCTGACAAGGGTCCCCCAATTACTGGTCCCAGCGCAAGAGCGAAGACATAGAGCGAAAGAGGTAAAATTGATTGTGTTGTCGTCACCCCGAATTCACTGATGAGTTGTTCTGGAGATGCGGTCATTACTGAGGTGCCGAAGGATCTGGACAAAATGTTAGATATACTCATATATACTGCTCACGTCTGCAGGTGTGTAAACAAACGCTGTAAAGGCCATTGAGGAGACAATGGCGATTTGCCATGCTTTCCTGCTTGCAGGCCAGTTGTATGGATTATCTGGATCTGTCTTCCAATCCCATTGCTCGTTGGAATGGGGCAACTGCTGATCTTGACTTCCTTGCTTAAGCTGATTTTTTTCTCTATCAGCAGGTAGGCTCCCCTGCCCTCTTTCCAGCGAATTTGGGTCCTCGGAGACACTCATAGTCTCCGATGTTGTATCATTAGTAATATCTGCCATTTTGTAACGTCTTTGACATCTCGATAACACAGTGGAAGAAGAAAATTAAACGATGCGTATTTATATATGCCGATTTTGATAGGCACAATCTCATTTGACTACGAGCAAGGCTGCAAAATTACATGTAAAAGAGTAATTGAAAGATTTGTCAACAGTGGATATATCTAATACTAATACATAATTCTTCTTTCCATTATCGTTAACATTTGAGTGGAAAAGAATCTGCTACTAAGGCAAAAGGCATCGTATGTCTTTCTCCGTGCAACAGCAAGTCTAATTGAATCATGTAAAATATCCTTGCAGTAGTGAACTCCTGTTGACTCATCAAGATCCCAAACATACTAACTTGGTAAGTAGTTCCAAGTCACCATTGTCCCAATCGGTAAAGATCAGTAATCTTTATGTCCGATAAACAGACCCAAACTCCAGCGATCTTAGAGCCGGCTACCCTCAATATATGAGATGTTCCACCTCATAAATTGTAGGAAAACGAAATGTTTGGTTCATTGTAATTATTATACGTAGTTGTGCGGCTATAGCAGCATCTGCTGTCTTATAAACTGCCTGAACATTGTAGGAAAAGATTTTCAACTTACCAAGGCGACGATGGATAGCGCAAAACATGTTATTCAGAGACATCAATTTAAACTAATAAGGCGTTAGTTAGAACCGAAAGTATGAGTAGATAATTGACCAAACAAGCTGAAGACCTGGACTTAATCTACACTTACCACCGACATGAACAATATAAACCCCAATGATGCAAAATTGCAAAATCCCCTGCTGAGAGCAGCTAGCGAGAATCTCCACACCCTCGCTAGTGCTCAGCTACATCGATGTATGAGGGGCACATGGCAGAAATAAGGAAGTTCCCGAGATGAATAGCCTATCAGTGAATTCGCGAGGAAACTTCCGATATGAATAGTCGATTATTAAGAGAATTGTCTATCATAAAGGGTTCTATAAATACTGAAGTTATCCCTTAAGCACCGCTGCAGCCAGGTACCAGAGTCGCAGGGCTAACTGTCTAAGAACAGCTGCTGCGTACGCCACCACTGTGGTGGTGTGTACCCCATAGGCCGATATGTAAAGGACCCCCTTGCCCAGATCTTTCAACAGAGTTTAGATATAGACACGGCCATTATATACACATTCGGCAATATCGTGTTAGATGGTGCATATAAAAGCTCCTAGAACATCATCACTCTGTCTTATTTATTCCACATTCCTAAGTAACAGGATAGCTTCCATCATAGGACATATAGACTTTGGTGAGTATTTCTGCAGACATAACAATTATCCTCTTATCGACGGGATGTACTAATAAAGGGCCAACAATTTCAGTGAGACATGCACATTTTTACATTACAGTGCAGCAATGCTGTAATATTATAACTGAATGCATTAAGTCTAGACCGTTGGACTGGTCGCTTCGTCAATCAAGACGCCAAACGAACTGACCGCCGTCGTATAGCTCTGATGAACAGCTTTGCTACCATAAATTCTCATTTCTTTCTCGTAGGCAGCCGTAACACCAGGTGCATACCCCCCAGCCTCACCCAATAATCTTCCTAGCAGCGCAGAATCTTGAACGGCAGTATTTGCCCCAATTCCTCCCGCGGGTGTCATTGAGTGTACGGCGTCTCCTATGACTGTCACACGAGGCTCGTTTGGCCATTCTGGTACGCCTGATGGTGTCGAGCATGTAATCTTCCAAAATGCCGCTTCGGACTCAATCATCTCATCAAACAAGGGCTTAAATCGCGGATGCCAATTCTTCACAAGTGACTTGGCGATGTTAGCAGCCTGTTTGCCCACGATGCTGTAATCGTCGTTGGGAACCTGGATTACACCTGGCTGGCCTCCCATTGTCCATCCAAACTGAATGTCGGGGTCGTCCATTTGATCAGGGCGAATGTTGGTGATGATGAACACGGCACCGTCCGGCCGGGTCTTATCCCGCACAGTGAAGACTCCTTCTCCCAGACCCTTGAACGCAGTCGTGGGGGCCTGTCCGTGTATTCCCCTAGCGCCTGTGTCATAGACCTTGAGTCTTCCGCCGGAGAGCTGCTTCGCGACTTTGGAGTAGATACCCTCGCCCCCCACAAGCATGGAGCCTTCGATTGACTTAGATCCGTCGGAGAATATGGCAACGACCCCGTCGTCAGTTAACTCATAGCCGGTTACGTGTTTGGCCCATTCAATATGCTCTTCGCAGCCCTCCGCAAACACCTTACGCATATCTCCCCGGGCGATGCCCACTATTTTGCCGCCTCGAGAAGCCAAAGCTTCGGGAGCAGTATGTTCCGTTTCTTCTCCGGTTATGGCATCCATGGCAGTGAACCCGCTACCACCGGTCTTTCCGCACTTGTCCCAGAATTTCTGCCATGTTGGGGCATCAAGAACCGATTCGATGGCCTCAAGTCCTTCTGTAGATAACCTCAGTCGGTATCCTTGAGCTCGGAAAGTAAATGACGCATCGCGCTCGAAGATCCTGAAGGGTATATTGGATCGCCGCAGGGACTGGGCCAGTAGTAGCGATGAAAGGCCACCGCCTGAGATCAAAATTGGCTTGGCGGCAGACATTTGTATCTCTCTTCCTGACTATCCTCGCGTGTCAAGTATCTAGCGATGTTCTGAATGTTAAAAATCCGAAAGAGGGGAAAGAGTTGAGCAATCTATGTACGCAGTGCATGTAAGATTGGGCTCAATGGCTTTAGTGCATGCTCACGCGGTATACCTTAGAAACAGGTCCATTAGTACCTATAAATACAACCAAGGCGCCCATTTTCCAATAATTGGGGCTACGCGCAATATCTTACTAAAATCGAATAATCGGCTGCACTTCAATTACAAATGAAAGAGCTATGGTTATATAAGCTAAAGCATATCTTAGATATCTGTCTGCATTTGGAAGTAATCAATATGCTCTATCAAATGAACGATTTGGGAGCCAATCACAGTTTAAACAGGTTATGGAAAACCATAGCTTTTCTCTAAACAACGAGCTAGGAGCCGATTTGCCGATGTAGTTATATCGCACTACTTATACTTTCTTAAGGAAAAAGAATAATTGTTGGGGTCTGGCTTACCTACTCTCAGCCACTTACTCAGCGCTAGACAGCAAAGATGAACGATTGAATCAAGGTCGTATGTTTGCTTCCAGTTTATACGAGTATACGAGTAACGAGTAAACGCGTAACACGCAACGCAACTTGTATAATATGGAAAGCGGTACGCGAGTGTGGGACATTTGCTTTGGCTTCTCGTGCGGAGAATATACTACATACCCTGTAATGTACTACAAGAATAGAGCACCTACTAGTAATATCCAAACTATTTGTAAGTTTCTGTACTTTTCGTGCGAGAAATAGAGAATCATTCTCTAATTGTCTTATTAAACTTAGCCCATGGACCGGAAGTCAAAGTGCAGCATACCTAGGCATTGTATAGGTGTGCACTTCAAAAGGAATATTTGGTTCGTGGATCTTCGTCCATGCTGCTATATCGCGTTACTCACAACGATGGCTGAAATTGCCTAAAAGACTACGAAACACACAATTCAGCTTCCAAAAATACACAACGAGTGGCTGAATCCTATAACCTGGTCAAATCCTTTCAATTAAGCTGCTAGGAGAATGAAACGTGAGATATTTTCTATACGCGGGATATGTCGGGCCGCTGCCCGGGGTCTCGGCCAACAGCAAGTCCGTAATCCCTGGCAGTATTTAAGTATTCAGCATTCATGAAAATCTTATCTTTGTCATACCTCAAGTAAAGGGACTATTATTTTTCAAAATGTTTAGTCCCATCCGAAGGATAGCAGAAGCTTTCACTCCAAAGACGATCACAATAGGGACGACTCTGATTTTCGCTGGCGTCGGCGGGGCGTATGCCTTGAGACTACGCGATAGTCTCCGGCAAACAAATCCAAGGCATATCCAATCAAGTGTGGCAGTATCAGAATCTTTGGTAGATTCAAACACTGTTCGAAAGCTTGTAAATCCACGAAGCCATGGCAGCAAAGGAGATTCTCACTCTATTATCTTATCACTGTGCTCGAGAAAAAATGTGGCGTCGGAGAAGGATCTACTGTCTGCATTCGTGACGGGCTTTTTTTCAGGGCCAGTTTTTCTCCCGGAAAGCATAGCCCTTACTCTTTTCCCTTTATCGAAAGTATCTTATGATGGTGAGTTATCCGGAGGGTTTGAATTAGCTGATAATATATGAATCTCACATTAAAATAGAGTTGATTCCAACAACGGATCAAAAAGTCATTTGGAGCGCAAAACAACTATCGGACACCCAGCTCCCTCCTATATCTAGTATTCTGTGGGGAACATTCCAAATTGCTGAGATTGAACTCTCAGATAGCCAGGCCAGCGAATCGATAGGAAGTAGGGCTGTTATTGTCTTTGGTGACAATAAGGGGAGTTTCGCTGGTTGTCATCGATTTTCCGTCAAGCGGTTGGACCCAAGTACAGACAACAAGGCAGATGAGATTAAATTTCGTCTTAGTCTAGAGTGCTTGGTCTGTGACCCAACTTCGAGCGAACCAAAGGAGTCTGAATTCTTGCACAAGGTGCACAACAACTACTCATACTTTTTGTTTAGAGACGCGGTGGCACATACAAAGGCCAGGTTTAACAGCTTAATTGAGTCGAGTCATTGAAGAAGACAGGCTCGAACGTGTAATTATAGAGATACAATCTGCTCCATGTGGAAGACTTCCAATAAAAATTCTATTTCGCTCTTATTAATAATTTTACACATCTTCAGGCCACTGAAAGTCCACTTGCTACACTATATAAACCATTGAGCAGAATCTTGCTACTCGGAGTCAGCTAGAGAGAGGAAACCCACGGTCAACTTCCACGATTGATGTCGGGGGTAGGGCTGCTTATAGAACGGGACTACAGTGGAGCACTGCCGAGCATTGAACCGCGCTAGGCATGTAAGGTTATCATGGATTAAAATACCCAGTGTCCCGATAATCGCTAATTTGGGAAGCTCAAGCTCGTCGTCAGTCAAAATGCAAGCATATGACTTCAAGATTATTAGCGGCTTTTAGGGTGAAATATATATCATAAGGATGAGTAATAAATGAATAATGAGGGTGGGCTAGATAGAATACGCTTAAGAAAAGAAGTAGATGGATGAATAGAACCGAAGAGGCAAACGGAGTCACTGGGAGTGTGCTAAATAACAACGGAGATGGCAATCCTGAACTCCATTGTCTTCCATTTGCAAGATAAATAGCAGCGATAACTTTTTTTCTACGGCTTATCGAAGAGTTAAATTAAATCTCACTACAGATTCTTGGAGTTCTATATACAGGGCACTAGACGTCAAATTCCATGTCATAAGCCAACGCATCAGTGCAAAGTTCTTCTCTCTTCTTCATCACCCTAAACAATTAAATCAGTACGGTTCTTCTATCATGGAAAGGTGTATTCATACGGCTGATGAGCTGCATGAGCTGCGTATATCGGAATGGTATCGGCTTTATCAAGAATAGCGACGATTCCAATATTAAATCCCTGTGCTCGCGCAGCTGTAATCGGCAGCGGCTCTCCGAAGGAGATCTTGAGCAAGCCTATGATGATGGTCAATGATTTGGGCCGTAGCTGAAGTAAAGGATAGCGCACCTGGAATCTGGCCATGCATGCCAAGAACCATTTCTCGCAAATTGTCAACTTGCTGAGCAGTTACATCTGGCTTCAGTTTGAAGAGAACTGAAATCTCTGTTATTTGAGAGGCTCTTGGTCAGCGTTAATAGCCAGGTGCAACATACCAACATGATAAACAGGCATGGCGACAGTTGGACCTGGAACGGTACTGTAGTGAGTAAGGCGGGGTATTCTGGCAATCTAGGTCTGTGTTCTGCAATTCCCGCGGCTGGGCTGTTTCGTGACGATGGACCGGAGACGCGTGGCAAATATTGCTGTCTTCTAGACACAGTCCCTCTGGTATAGATTAAAGCAAAGAAGTCAACAGAGCTCAGAGCTGCGTCTCGTTCTTGTACGGGCTCTTTTAAAATGCCGCGTCGGTTATACAAACCCCGCGTCACATCGCCGCGACACCCGATCCAGACCGCAGCAGAGCTCCAAATAAAATACCCGAGGCCAAATTCGCTGAATGATGCGATCTCCTCTTTTTCAATATGACTCCATCTTGTTAAAAATCATCAAGACAGATCTCACCTGAGGCAACAATTGTAGCCTACGTTGGTTGGCCACGGGACCTATACTTGACAGTTGATCTCGCAGTTGCCTCATTACTATCTGCAGCGAGTTCAGTTAGATAAGCTACTCCACAATCAACCGATGAATCGGTTAAAAGATTGTGCGTTTCATGCCCAATACTCTCAGATGATCTACATAGTCGATAGGAAGATTGCGTGGGAAAGGTTGGAGACTAGTTCTCTTTTCGTAACTCATTTGTCTTTATTAAGTGTAAAGTAATTATAGGCTCATCATGCCTGTGCTTACAAGAAGAGTAATAAACATTGCTGTGCCAAGAGGCCAGCTTCCAGGAATCAGAGAATCGGCACTGCCATTGTCCTTATCATCGCTGCCTGAACCTGAAGAGTCGCCCGAGTCTGAAGAGTTGCTGGAAGCGGCCGCGGCGCTGCACTTGTCCACACTTCCAGAGGCAGTTTGCGTCTCGGCGCTGCTATTGAAGTCACAAGCAGTGCTGTCCTTGTTCTGCTTTAGATAGTACTGGTTCAGGACATACGTCAGCTTGTCCTGATCGCTGCACATGCTAAATGCACCGTAATCGCCAGTGGAGGTGTTGCCATTGATGCCGTCGCACAGACTCTGATCAGACCCGCAGACATAGTCAAATAAACTTCCGTAGTCAGTAGAGTCTGTACTGTTGGAAACGACACACTGGGAGGCCTTGACCATGCAGCTGCAAGCGTCGGTGTCGGGAGTTGGCGGGAGCTTGTCGCTCGACTCCCACGTCGAATTGACCGCAGGGCAGGATGCAGGCTGATTGGAAGGGTTGTAACTCGACATCTCAACTCCTTGAATGTTAACTGCCTGAATTTGTTGTTGGAGAGCACCAAAGTCCTTAAGTTTCGTGGCGGTATTGCCGTTTATCTGGACTAGGCCTGTGGGTTCATTTCTAATCAGCTTCGCAGCTCACCACCGTGCCCATATCAAGGAAAAACGACCCCATTTCTTTATACATACCATAGTCATTGGTTTCTTCAAAATATTCATAGACAATGCCGCCGCTGAGAACCGCTGTCATGTTGTGTGCGTAAAGTGCACCTGTTTCTTGGAATATGCGGTCTGCTGCACCGTTGGGGAGATTGCAGCCATATTCGGCAAAGAACACGGGTACAGAGTAGTCCTGGAAGAACTCAAGAATTCGATTATAACCGGATGTCTCAAATGTTTTCTCACCGCACCATTCGTAGACATTATATCCAAAGAAGTCGACACTGTCTTCTGCTGGGCCGCAGTTGAAGTACGCGGCAATCTGGTTTCTGATATCTGAGTCGTCATCGGCGGCGTATCCCACACCCATAGCGCGGTATTTCTTGTCTTTGATGTACTGCTTCACATCTCGCACTGCAGCTTTGACATAGGCGGAAGCGGATGTCGTGGTAGCATTATTGGTGACCTCGTTGCCAACAAAGAAGCCAATCACATTGGTGTAATTGGCGAAACTGTCTACGACCTGCTGAAAGTGGGTGAAAAGATCCACATTCCACTGCGGGTTTCCACGGTTTATAGACTGCTGGGGGTTGCTAAGATCCGAAATAACGTATATACCCGCATCGTTGAGCAAGGACATGCAAGCGGAATGATCGGCAGTCGGATCGATTGCATACGTGCGGATCACGTTGGTGCCAAGCTGACTGAGTAATGGTATATCACGCTTGCAGTTGGCTTCGTTCGCTAACGGGTCGACGAATTTCGTGTTGGTCGAGACCGCTCCGTTGGCAGAGGAATCCTGCTGATACGCAACTCCTTTCAAGAAAAACTGAGTGCCATTGGGGTAAAAGAATTTTGACCCCTACAAGAGCGGGATAAGAGATTAGATAAAACTTCTAATTGCAGGCAGAGCGGCTACTGTTTGGGGTTACAGTGTCAAGGGAAAATTGTAAACTCGTAGACGTACTTTAATCTGAATCGACGGAAGATCGGCGCTTAAGCCCACGGAAGCAAACAGCAAAAACGATAATGAAACGCTATAGATGCCCATAGTGAGTGTATGTGCTACGATTACGTCGTAGCGTCACGTCGCTGTGGTGAATTATGAACTAAACCAGGGTCAATTCGGAAACCTTTGGATCAGATCTGAAAGACTGACTGAGGATGGAAAATAATTAAGGCGAGGATTAACTTGTATTCTTGGGCTTAGAGAGTGAGCCGCGAAGTTGCCATTGGTTTGACGAAAATCACTTGGTGTGGTAAGAAAGCGAGAGTAAACAGAGCTCTAACTTCGCGCTGGGTTTAACGACCGTTGCTGTTTGCGCAATACGACGGGATGAAATGCCGAATTGACCGCGGAGAGATTGGCAGAGCGAATGATGCCTACAATTGCATAATCAGATCCACGAGCTGAAGCCCTGCAAACAACATGAAATGTGGTAGAACCCGAGAATATGCAAGTCGATCCAAGAGCACGGGGCGACGAGTGTTATTTATCTGCTTAGCACCCTCCATTACGGGTATGTTGGGCGCGTCACTACGAGAGCCAATCCAATAGAAAGTGCGAATGCATGGCAGAGCATGGGGTAATGTAGTATTTCTAACCGCGTCAGCTCTACCAAACTGGACCTGCGTCATTATGGGCGAATGCGAGGAAACTGACCGAAACAACGTGTGGCGCAGGCCGGATTGTTGGTCCATTTAGCCAAAATGTTGTCTCGCGTCCAGAAATGGGCGATGTCTACTCCGTAAGGTGTGTTTACTAGTGAAGGTGCCTAACTAGCAAACAGGTCTATTGCTACCCAAGCTTTGCTCGCAGGTACTATCTGGTATTAATTCTCTCCGATCCGATGTGATGTAGGTCTTTGGTCACTATATATACAAATATAAGCACGGCCGCCCTGCTTTATTGTTGCTGTCTTTCAGCCGATTGATGTTGAATATGTATATATATATTGCGCAAAGGTTTACCATACGTTACCTAGGTAGATTTAGGATGAATTTTTGTCCTAGATGATCTTAATGGACGTGATTGGAATCAGGTTGTGTGCCCGAGGGGAAGTGACGGCGAGCATATTGAGATGCACAAGCATTACCTACCCTTTACGCATGCAATTCTAAGCCATTGGAAATTATAAGATGCGCAATTTGGTATGAAGTATTTGAATCGATATAATAAAGCTCATATTGAGCTGCATTCAATGCTTCAGAATTGCGGTTGCAAATAGAGATTGAGTTTCAGCCACGACGGTACAGCTCACTCGGGAGTACCTGATTACCAGTGTTAGTGTTCTGTTGCCATCATCAATTTGCTCGCTCTTTTTTTTCTCAAAATCTTTCGTCTGACCCATCGAAACATTCATTTAGCTCCTGGTGAATTGCCTTCAAAGTTCAAGTCGCCGAGCCGCCCAACCGCCCCTCCTTTGGTGTGCTCGTATATTCCACCTCGGAATACCGGCACCTCGGATAAGGCGGCATTCATGCTGTAGGATGTTTATTTTGCCTCTCACGGTCAGCTTTGAGCTCCGTATTTGGTACCTATTCGTAGGATTTCGCACCATAATCGTCTCCATTTGCAGGGTATCGCATCCAACTCCGCCAGACCTACCAATCGTTCCGTGAGCCATTAACAAGTAGCGGAGCTGAGGAACACGGAAGCTGCCAACAGCCCGACTCCAGCAAAAAATACTACATCGGTTGAGGCGCAACACTCCGGACATTCCTTCGTGCATTTATTAAGGGGTAAGAAGGCTTGTAATTCGATTAATTGTTACCTACGCAATCCGCGAATCGTCTTCACTTCACTTCCGTAGAACATCGGTTCCATCTAGTGATACGCTCCGTTTATCCAATACAAACTGGAAATCAAACCCCGCATTGGAAGCCTTTTGACAGAGACAGGGGGTCTGTAGCCCTTGTAAGTCTATGGACTCTGGCGCCACGAGCCTTTTGTGATCCGTGTCCCGCGGAGCGGCGCTGGGAACTGACGCCGGCGTGGGCGGATAGCGACAGAAAAGTAACCAGACAAGGCGATCTGCATCGCTGCTAGAGACAAAGACAACATAGGACACATGCAGCATACCCGGCATTAGATGCTGCTAATCCAATGCAAGTGGTCTAATGTACCACTAGCGTTTATAGAACTCAATGACGTTTATACAACGACATTGTCGTTGGGCTTCTAATAATAAACACAGGAAGTAAACTGATTACATGAAGGTAACACCACTAGTGTGACAGGCCAACTTCGCCCTCTTAAATATCTTCCGTAACCATTGTCTTCTCTACATGCTTAGCTGGAATTGGTCAACGCCATATCCCATCCGTTTATCGATCCAGCCTCCTCTTCTGTGAGCTGAATACCAAAGTAATCCCACAGCGCTCTCAATCTCTGCTGTTCCGAGTCAACCTGCCTGATTACCGTTGTCTTGTTACCCATGTTGAGTTTAACCAGATTGTTCACCAGCATCACCTTGCCAACAATGTTTATTTCTTCCTCACAAATAGCCCCCCGGCCCTGATGCGGATACTCGCTGGCTTCTCGTTGTCGCAAGAACCTTACCGCCAGTACCGTCCAACGATGTAGTGTTTTCGCACTTGCCCACCAATTTTGAACTTCAAAGTCTTCTTGAAAGAATTCGACTTCCAAAAAGCTGTAAAATGAATTCCACGGTTTATCTGCGCCATTCCGGTATTGATAGATCCATACTTTTGGCTCCACTAGCCGTTGTTTCGGAAGTACATCATAAACAAGGCGAACTTCTTGGCTACCTAGATTGCTGTGTATTGTGGCATTCTTGTCCATGCGCAGAGGCAGAGTTGGCCCATCACCACCAAAGGCTACATCCGCACTAAATCTGGATCCATCAGGGAGGTGGATGATGTTGTTGATATGAGTCCTTTTTGGCGTCATCCATTGGTTTAGAAAAGGAACTGTTACTCGAGCAGAAATAGTGCAAGATGTCACTTACCATCCTTGAGTCTCTCCTTGGGGCACTCCATTTGTCCGTGTACGATTACGCACACCAGTCATGTATACATGGAACCCGAGTCCCCTCAACATGTGGTGAAAAAATATGCTGAGTTCCATGCAATAACCACCTCTACCACTGCTAAGCGCCCCCATCATCTTTGTATATAGCGCATCGGTGTGAATATCGACCAGATGGGTAGGAGAATAATGAACGGAGAGGTTTTCATAAGGAAAAGTCGTAATCTGCGCGCGAAACAGAACTTTTAACGATTCTTCTGTTTTCGGAAAGGACGTTGGCTTGTATATGTATTGTTCATATGATGAGGGTAAGTCAATATGTTGAAGCCATGCGGTGATTTGTGACTCCGAGTAAGCCGACTCTTGGGACATCGAGTCCCGGAATGCTTCAAATGCCATGACCAAGAATTGAATGTAGCAATGGCTCGAAGGGTTTGGTTCTGCCAATTCTGTCAAATGTTAACCTGCTACCAACCGTCTGCTTTTTGTCTTCTTGTTGGGAAGCAATTGAGTCATTAGTGCGCATAATCAGCGATAGCGCTTGTTGATGCTACTGCTGCCTGTAGACTCATCATCGGCGATTTATCGGCCTCCTACATCAGTCCACGTTCCTGTGTTCAATAGATACAAATTCCATAATTATGTTATTATCTACCTTTGGCCTATCACTTGATGAGACCTTCATATGACGTGAAGTAGTGTGATAAATTTTTGGAGTGAGTGAAAAATTAAATGTTAACTGATCCATACTTTGTGTACTGACTTAGTACGGATTCGAGAAAGAAGAAGGAACAAATGGGAAAAAGCCTCTCCGTCCTTTGAAAGGCGATGCAATTGGTCAATATGAGAAATCTCAGGATTGAAATCAGTCGTAAATATACGCTTAACGGGAATACAATGAGTTAGAATAAGCTTCGCTTGAATGACAGGCTAACGCAAGGCGCAGCATAACCGATCAAAACTATCTCGGCATCATGCCGGTAAATCCAGACGGCCATGATCAGGCAGAGCTTGCCTATTAATAGCTAAATACTAACGCGACGAGGGAATGATGCTCTTGGAATTTAGCCCAAGAGCTTGTGTGCTTAAGTGAGCTTGAGACATTTGGTACCGAACCGATGTCAAAGAAAGACACTGGGAGTAGCACTACCCAATGCTGAGTTTGAGGCGGAACAAGGCGAGGGAGGCCTTTCTTTTCTATTCAAGATCGGCCCTTCAAGTTGCGTATGCCAAGACGTTCGCCTTTGCCAAGACACCTCAAAGACTCACCACATAAAGACCCACCACAGCTACCTGGGGAAAATGTAAAGCAACCAAGAGGAACAGATATGCTTCTTTGGGCAATCATCCAGCCGCGAGAGTTGGTAGATGCAAATGTTGATGAATTTGAACTTCTATAGAGCCAATTGTAATTGCTATGTTTGTAACCATAGCAGCCGTCGATTATAATTAGTGCTATTGGAGTGAATGTGAACTACAGCGCATCATTAGAGATAAGTTGAGATGCTCGTCTCTATGATGGAACAACGATCTGGTAGAGACAACATACTGGGGTAGTACAATACATATAGCTATACACAAATACCATCAATAAAAGATGAGAAGGGCCAATGATGGTACATAGAAGCAGAACTCGACTTACAAGGAGTAATTTACTGGCTTAGTTAAATTTGTGATGAAATGTTACCTGCGAAACCCAGCTCTCTGGAATGGCGACACATTGATGTCTTGCTTATTTTTCGGTTATAAAAAGGAGCGCAAATGGATTTCGGTCAATTGTAAGTAAAGTAGTGGGGAAATATATACGAGGTTTGTGATATGCTTGAGACTAAGATTTACCAAACTAGGTTTGACCTTGTCAGCAACTCATGAAGCCATGCTTTCGTAAATGCCATAATGCTTGGTAATAGTGTACTTCTCGAGCTAATTAATCAAATCAATGAGATAAACACAAGTACCATAATTCTCTGCGGGTTCATTTGTCTCGTATCTGAGTTTCCCCGTTAGGCATCAACTCATGCGATGGGGTTGATGAAGATACCACAAGCGTGAATCTTAGCCCCGTAAGGCCATACTCTGCTTCACGATATCAGCATTCAAGTAGGTAGCCATCGGTCCGCGCTTATTCCGGTTAAGTGTTCTTGCGCTAACGTAGTAATAAGCAAGGCAGCTACATCCACAATGTTCCAATACTCGCTGCGTTGAACTCCCCTTCAAGCATCTTCCCAGCTATTTAAGGCAATCAAGTCCATCTATCCTAAATCATCAACATTGTGTCTTCACCGAACTAAGACGTAAATATGGCAGACAAGGATCCGGAAGCTGACAAATCTAGCATTTTTGACCTAGTTGTTCAAGCAGATCTTGTCGGTCTTAAAGAGGCTCTATCTACGAAACAAGTAGATCTCGAGGCACGAGATTCAGCGGGCCGAACTGCGCTACACCTAGCTGTTATTGCAGGGACGGCAGAAATTTGCCAATATCTGATTGACCATGGCGCCAATCTGGACAATTGGACTGGGCAAGGTGAAGCAGTTGTGCATTTAGCTGCTAAGAGGGGAGATGTTGATATTCTGCGCACCGTAATGGAATCGGTGTCGACAAAAGAACGGAAAGTTCAGAGCGAAGATCAACCTTCTAGCGATAAAAGGGACCGAAGTGTGGACGTGGATTCTCTGACGAAAAAGTACCGGATGTCACCTCTCTATATTGCTGTCGCACTTGGTATGTTGGAACCACGTTCCTTTATGTTTATAGTCTTGCTTATTTGTTATATAGCACACGTAAAAGCAGCAGAGGCATTGTTGACCACCTACCGTGCGAATGCCAATATCATTGCTGGTGAAGACAACGCCCAGCGGGGTACACGAACTGCTCATGTTCTTGAAGCGGCTTTGCAACACCCTCGAGATGTTTGTCGCCCCCTGCTCACAATGTTACTTCAGCACGGTGCAAGTTTGCTTGACCCATCTGAAAAGACGGTATCACGGTCGCTCCTTTTGCTAGCTCTGAAGCGAGATGAAGATGTACTCGATATATTTGCTGAGCTCGACAACCAAAATTTCATGGCTGCAATCACAAAGTCTGTCTGGTATGAGATGATGAGTTGTCTCAATACACTAACCATGGCTATCGAATCTGGGCTGGAGAACACTGCTTTGAAACTCCTCAAATACGGGGCGCCACCACAGCTTGAGTTCAACTCTTCGTTGGAGATCGTTGCTCTCCGCAACCCATTTGGAAGGAACGCTGAGGAAGCGGCCAAAGATGACTTTTGGCAGCCAATCTTGAAAGCTGCTATGAAAGAAATGCCGCGGCTAATGATCGATCTATTAGACCGTGGAGCAGATCCCAATTCCACGCTAACAGACCACCAAGCTCAGTACATGCTTGATCATCGCGAGTGCCGCACTGTTTTGGATATTGTCAAGGCGAAACTCATGGAGTTACGCAATTGGAATGCAGACGAGGAAACCTCTGGCTACGATACCAGAGGAACACCGGAGGAAGCAAAACAGATCGCAGGAAAGGAAAATGCGGTATCTCAGCTTATTAAAGAATATGAAGCCGCAGAAGCGAAATTGGTTTCCATGGGAGCCAAGATATCTGACGGATTGAACTTGCAAGAACCACCAACCCCAGTTTCCATCCGACCTCATAAGAAACTTCAGTTACACGCCCCTAGTTCCTCAGAGGCAGAGACTCAAACACAGCAACACTCGGAAGAACTCGACTTCAGAAAATTAGAAACACTGGAGGATGGTCATCAAGCTCTGTAAGATGCCTTGGAGCTATTTGTTGTCCCCAAACCTGTACTAACGGATGTTATTGTTTAGATTTTCAGCGTGCAGAGAGGGGAATAGTACACTGGTTAAAGCACTCACCTTGGGAAGATGGGGCCCAGACTTGAAGTTTCCCCCCATTTTAGTATCTGCCGTATCTGGCTATTCCAAAGGTCCATTCCTCACCGCCGTGGAGTCTAAAAACTACGACATAGCCCGTACTGTCGTTCAAATTGCCACTGTCCAACAAGCTGGCCTTGCAGACAACGAGAAGAATGACCTATACAACGCATTAGCCGATGGTCAGCACCCAGTTGAAAGCATCAAAGACGCCTTAGGAGAGGTCCAGTCCACTGTACCTGCAAAGAAGATTGTCTTTGACAGTGGCAGTTGCTTCGCGGGGGAAAAACAAAAGGATGTGGAGATGCTGCGATTTTCAATCGAAATGGAATCTTCGGTTTCGGTCGAACAAAGCGACTTCGACCGCCGCATCAGACATGCATGGGCTCTGGTGGAACACGGTGATTGGCCCGAAGCCTTCGAAGAATATGTTAGAGCAACCGGTGGACCATTCAAGCACGTTGTGAGTCAAGGTAAACTTAAAGGTAAAAGCCAACTTGACAGACTCCACCAATTTTCGCCTTTGCTTCAAGCAGCCTGGTCAGGGAACCTGGAAATGGTACGCTTCTTCCTCAACAAAGATAGGGCAATGGCAGCATACAAGCACTTTGCAGAGAATCACGATTTCACCACCCGAAAAGCTGGCCCTGAGCAATCCCGAACAGAGTTTATAACTGCTGTGGAGAAATGGATGGACAATCGAAGTAAGTATTTGTCACTCTTAAGCTCAACATTGTGTAGCTGTTTTTGACCATGACATATTAGACAATCTTGTTCTACACTGTGCTATCGTCTCTCGAAACATAGAGCTTGTCAAGTTTATTCTGTCAGCTCGCCCAGAGTTACTCGAAGTCCAATCTATAGACGGGTGGACACCCCTTTTGACGGCCGCAATCCACCAAAGAATCGAGGCTCTCCTTATCCTACTTGAAGCGGGAGCTAACCCCCTTGCTACTGATCCATATGGCCGCAATATGCTTCATCTTCTTTTATTCAGTCCAACTGGAAGTTATGTCTTCGAGCATGAAAAGGTGGCATCCGTACTTCGATCAATGGATAGATCATTATTGCATCAGCTACTAGAGCAGCGTTGTAATGAGAGTCCCGGCGGCCAGACACCACTCGCACGTTTGATCTCTAATCGACCCCCACCAAATGCAGTATTCACAGCTTTGTTAGAAATCTCCAATCTGACGCCACTGGAAATGCTAGATGGCGCGGGTTACACTCCCCTCCACATTGTACGTTTCTTCATTTCCTATATCCTTGACATTAACCCTCCATGGCTGACTATGAGACATATTTATTTAGGTGACAAATTCTTCCATGGAAAATCTTATTCGTCCTGTGATTGAAAAGGCACCCCATGTCATGTTCTACGAAGATCCGCAAGGGCGAACACCTCTTGACGTTGCTATCGAGAAACAGCTTCACGGATTTATAGAGTGTTTCATGTCAAACTATGCGCGAACCAAAGAATACCCATCGTCTTCTCCGCTCATTCATTGGCCGCTATTTGCATTTGGTACAGATTACAGTGGCCCAATGCATACTAGAGATCCGTATCAAACATGGGAAATTAGTCAGGAGCTAGCCAATTCACTGGGATCTCAGCAATTTCCCCGGAAGCTGGTTACACAGACTCAGCGGGAAGAGATTGCAAAGTGGTATGAATAAAGTCGAAAACATTGGTGATGTGAAGCATAGCTAACAGAAAAGCAGGTCGAAAAACAAAATGATACAAAGAAAGCCTAAAGGAGACCAGCATGACATCGTGTCCTTGTTTGTATATAAACCCGGAAACTTGTGTTGGTAAACGCATAATCACTGAGTGCGCTTCTCGCATATTTGTTCTTGAAGAGATAGATTACATCGAATCTGCATCGCGTCTCATATAGTGTGCATTACTTGTATGATCATGAAAGTTCAAAGAGACGAGAAGGCTCAGTATATACGGGGATAGTAGAAAGTCCATCTTTCCCCCCAGCCATTGTTCAGAAAATATATGTACTTGGATCACATATTGCATCTAAATGGGATGGAAGTTACTTGTTGACGTGCTGGATGGGGTATTTGGGACATCAAGGACTTTGCAGTCCGCGTTTTGTGCAATTCTCTTTGATTGATGTTCTATCATCACTCAAATGTTGCGAAATCGGGCCCAGATCAAGACCCTCCTATTCTTCTACTCCGACACTCATTGATATAGCCTCTATCACGTCCAATTCTTTCACCCACGCCTCTGCTTCCTTTTTAGCCAGAGGCCAACAGTCCTGGCCCAAGGGTACTCTTAAACATTTCTGGATTGTTTCATCAGCCGCCACGCCAGAGCCGAGAATCACATCAAGGAGCACACTTGCAGCCTTGTCGACGTTTCCCAGTTTCCGGGTTTTCATGTCTTTGGTAAGTTCCATCATTTTACCAGCAGGTGTTTCTGAATACTCTCCAATACCAGCTTCAGGAAATGTCAAGGTTTCCAGAAAATTAGTTCTGTAGGCGCCGGGCTCAGCGATGATTATACGTATGGAAAACGGAGCAAGTTCGTTTGCAAGTGCCTCTGAAAGACCTTCGACGGCAAATTTACTGCTGCAATACAGACCCCGGCTCGCAAGACCAATGAAGCCTGCGCCACTGGTGATATTGACGATTGTGCCAGATCGGCGAGAGCGGAATGTTGGAAGAACACCTCGAACGGTTCTCAGCGTGCCATGGAAATTTGTTTCCATTTGCGCGTGGGCTTCCACGTCACTAATTAAAGATGAGCCTTTTTGTTACTACTCAATCGTGAACAGATAGATGAGGACAGCAAACCTTATCTGCTCTACCGGGCCGAGGAGCGCATATCCAGCTGAATTGATCAATACATCAACATTCTCTTTCTCAGCGATATTTCGAACACAATCTTCACAAGAAGGGCTAGAAACATCCATTGCAAGCCAGACACCACCCAACCTTTCAAACTCTGGGTTGGCGGTACGGGCGTTAGTCGAATCACGAGTTGCCCCTATGACTCTGTGACCACGGCGCAGGGCCCCGAGACTCAGAGCAAGGCCCAATCCCGAGCTAGCGCCGGTAATCAAGAAGACAGTCATCGCTTATCAAGTGGTGTTGAATAGACCAATAGTGATTTTCCAATACAAAAGATCGAGGACAGACGAGTAGCGAGAAAAACATGCCGCGTCGAGCACAAGACGAATAGATATGTTGCAATTAGTTTGGCAATGGTCTTATATGACACTGATATATATAGGAAAAAGGTTGCCGGATTTATCACTTAAAACCGGTCCAAGAAGGATTGATGAACATATTGATGGCGAATAGGATCTGCTCCAAACACCAAAAGGCTGAGATCCGATATCTCCGACTTCAGCAATCTGCATTGAGCTATACTTCATGGTAATTCAGATATACCCATGATTATTGAAGTAGGAGAAAGAATTAAATCGTTTAAGAACGATGTCTTCGAGATTTATCTTGCTTGGCGACCAGTTTAGTATATATATCTCTACCCAAACGAAGCAGTGCGTAGCGTTGAGTGGTCTACGATAACCAACCTTAAATCCGGATAGGCTTTCGTTTAGGGAAATCTGGCTAAAATACCTAGATTCTGGCGTCCGTCATTCGTTTCGTAGCACGACTTTACTAAAAGTACGAATACCGGTAGATATATGCACATTGTGTTGTTCGTACTATAGAGATTTTCTGAAGTTGCATGAGTCGAAGAGTTGTAATCCGATCGTTGTTGATACATTCCCAACGGTTGCGTGTCTCGGATCACTTCATGTGATAATTGGGTACCCCTTCGCTTACTATCAAAGCTCAGTGAAGTTTTAATAGATGGACAGAAGGTTATTAATGTGGTAGTAGCGGTCAAAAATCACCGCGTGCATGTTGAATGAGCTTCGCCTGGAGGTAATAGCCCGGGGGACTGGGGCAACAGGCTTGTCTATCTCCGTACCGTGGTGAAGATACCTGGATCTCAAAAATATATAACGGGAGATGAAATGGCCCTGATTCTATGTACGATGATGCTGAGAAGAAAATAGAGAGAGGTGTGAAGAGGATCAAACAGCAGCAGCCATGATTACCAGAATGACGGTAAGGAACAAGGCAACACAGACGATTTGGGCTGAAGGGAGAATAACCGCAATTAACACATATTTAATAAGGTATGATGCGGAGTAAGCATATTGTCTCAATTATGAGTATTAAGAGCTCAGGCCATCCATATCATTACCACATGAGAGTGTCAAGACAAATTTGGAAGAAGTATTCGCTCCGGTTACAGCTGCGGGAATTTAGCTTGGTATTTAGAGATTACTGATGCTTATCAAATCTCTGGGGGACGTCAATTCTTGTGTTGTCTCACAAACGGTCATGTCTCGAACTCGCGAAACGTCATAGTCGAAATTGCAGAAGAATTTAAAAACGCCAAATGTACTCGGTAGCAAGTGCCCAGCTGCTTTGTAAACCTGGAGGCTAGCCTGATATGGAGCTTGGGCACTCCAACTTTTTTTCCTCTTTGGGAAAGACCTCCCGACTGATGTAGCCGACACTTATCGAAATGCTTCTTTCAGGCGCTAAAGAAAGAAAGCTTCCAAATAGTACCCTCGCGAATGGAATCTTATGCTCAAGTAGCTTTATTACCAAGGTGATATTATTCGTTTGATGTTCTATTTCGTTAATAATTCTCTGCTCTAGGTAATCTTCTTGTTCCGACCTAATTAGCCCTTTCTAGCAGCAAAACTAAGTCATGTTGCTACAAGTTTCGTAATTAAGAAATATATAAATCTTGACAACTCCCTCACTTTTACTCTTCAAATTCCAACAGCTTTAAGAACAATTACATCACCTTCTATATACATCTCTCTTATCATAAAGAAACAACCAACACTATTACCATTACAAGAATAATCACCAGCCAACTGATAGCCCATTAAGTTCAAGGGTAGCAGCTTCCTCTCCATCTCGAACAATATCAACCATCAACTTACTTTTCTTCTTCTTCTTTTTTATTTAAAAACTCGACTATAATGGCCTCTAAAGACTCTCTTCTATTTACGCCTCTAAAGTTTGGCAAGGTAGAGCTTGGCCACCGAGTTGTATTATCGGCTCTTACACGACTCCGTGCGGATAAGAATCATGTCGCCACAGACCTCATGAAGGAGTATTATCTTCAGCGTACTTCCATACCAGGCGGTCTTATCATCGCTGAGTCCGCCTCAATCGCTAAGCACCAGGGCGGTATGTCATACACTTCAGCTATATGGGGCGAGGAACACGTCCAAGGCTGGAAACCTATCGTCGATGCGGTTCACGACAAAGGCGGCTTTATGTATCTTCAGCTTATGGCCTTTGGAAGGGCTGCTCAACGTTCAGCTGCTGAAGAGGATGGATTTAAGATTAAAGCTCCTAGTGCCATTCCTTTTGAGGGAAGTGAGACGCCAGAAGAGATGACCATCGAAGATATTAAGAGCACAGTTCAAGATTACGTCCAAGCAGCCAAGAATGCCATGCGCGCTGGGTTCGACGGCGTTGAGCTCTACGCTGCCAATGGCTACCTCCTCGATCAGTTCATTCAAGACGTGAGCAACCAGCGAACTGATGAGTATGGCGGCAGCATCGAGAACAGAAATCGCTTAATTGTAGATGTCGTCCAAGCAGTCGCCGATACTGTTGGGGCAGAACGTGTGGGAATCAAGCTGAGCCCATGGTCTGACTTCCAGGGCATGCGAATGGAAAATCCCATTCCACAGTTCACCGATCTTATTAAAAAGATCAATAACATTGGAATTGGCTATCTGAACCTCATTGAGTCTCGGGTCTCGGGAATCGATTACACGGATGGCACAGAGAAGCTGGACTGGGCATGGGCAGTCTGGGACAAGGCCATTATTGCAACAGGAGGCTATCTGCCTGAGACGGCGCTGGAACTGGTTGAGAAGCACCCGGACAGGGATATTGTCGTCGCCTTCGGAAGGCGATACGTCTCGAACCCTGACCTGCCATTCCGTATCCAGAGAGGTCTTGAGCTCAACCCGTATGACCGCAGTTCATTCTACAAAGTGGGCGCTCCTGACGGACTCATTGACTATCCGTTTAGCGAGGAGTATTTGGCGTTGCAGAAAAACTGACGATGGATAGGATAGAAGAGTAAAAAACGTCTTGTAGCATAATAGAATGTCATTAACTTGCTGATGCTTGGTTGTGGCTTTACCAATCTCTCAATTGAATGTATCAAATAATCCAAACTGCCCTGGGGTATCGTAAAACAGAAAAAACAAACGCCTATGCTATGCTCCAAATCCATATTGTCCATCTGAGGATCCAACTTCACACGCCATCCAAAGACTTCGCCGCTGCACCCAGCCCTGCCAGGATAACGACCATGCCTATGGAACCAACCACATCGCGATGAGCATGAGCTGCATTTCTTTTTGACTTCGCCGCTGCCTCCGACCCTGTCAGATTAACAACCATGCCAAAAAGATGATGCTGCGAATGATTATCACGGTGGCTAGCAGTTGGGCATACTGATGGACTGCCCGCTGCCCCCAGCCCTGCCGGGTTAACGGGTATGCCCTTCAGACAACTGGTGCTCGGATATTGGATCCCCATGCATTATTCACCGCCTGATGCTTCTAACTGTGCTTGCCGTGCCGTTGTCGCTAAGATACCAAAATTCACACTTGGAGTCTCGCCGGGAGGATCGCTTTGACTGCAGAAATTCTTCGACTGTAGGTGTAGGTGTAGGTTTTCCATCTCGTTGCGGACCCTGATCCTCATTCTTCTTCTTGCGTCGTTGCTGTCGAGATTGTTTTTGATGGGATGATGCCGGGCTGCGTTTTTCGATTCGCCGACGCGAACTTCGGGTTTTCTTCCTAGGCGAACTGATGTTGGGTGGAGACGCTGGTTGTAGCTTCGATACAGGACATTGCATTTGATGAGTGGTATGAATGCTTGTTTGCTCGATCGCTTCAATGTCGCTGGTATCTCTTTCTGAAGGTTCCGGGCTGGGCAGTGGATTCCGATATATCGTTTGTGTTTGGCAGCTGCATGCCACCTCTGTCTCTGTGCATGATTTGTAGAATTCTTCCACCAAGGGGTTCGGCTCCTTTTCTTCTTCTGGCGTATATCCGATGCTCGGCCATGGCTCTGGAGATGAACTGCGTGAACTGCTTGCGGCGTCGTTTGAGCTCTGGTCTATTCTGGTCCGCTTTGCACTCGGTTCGTGGTCGGAATCAATATGTGAAAGGTCCGTCCTCTTGCGTTTCTCGCGCCGTGAGGGCATCGTTTGTGATGATGGCGGTGATGGGGCTGCGAGAGTGTCGTATTCTTCGAAATCGTGGACCAGGGCCAATTTGGCCTTCTTGCGCGGTAGAGGCGCATCGCTGCTGAATTTTCGTTTGGACATGCTGTAAATCGGCTAATATGCGCCCACATATATTGCAAAATGGTGACGGCGACTGTGGTGAGCTGTCCAGTGCGGTAAAATTGAGCATTTGCTGTTGTATGTTCAGGAGATTGAGTGTTGACTTGAGAGGCTGACGATGCCATCTCGGGATTGCACGATCACGTGACGTCGCGAGCTCAGTATCACCATCCGCAACGCGCCCATCCAAGGATCTGTAAGTGTCGCAATCAACTGAGATGCACAGCGCATTCTAAATTCACTGCGAGATGCGCATTATTATAATCTCTTTGTTAACCATCTTCTTTCCACTTCTTCATGCCTCTTTGCTATCGCCTTGAGTCAACCTCCAGCTCCTGCTGCCTCTCGGCTTCCTGCCTCAGCCATTCTCTTGTCCATCTCCAGCCACTCTCATGACACAACCAACGACTGTTTCCGATGCTATACCGATCGACGTGACCAGCAATATCGAGATTGCAGTCTTTTCTGCCGATAATGAGGCTGCAATCCACCTCTTAGAAATCATCCAGTGCAAATCATCGCCCCCGACGCTCAAGAGTGACGAGAACTCAATCGGCTACCAACTGTCAATACCTTTGTCATGCGACAGTCCAGACGCTAGACGGTTCAGATGGCGCATTGGCGCTGGTGCATCTCCGGCATTGGTTGAGAAAGGACTGTGCTGTTGTGAACCGGACATTCTCTTGTGTCCACCAGGAAGGACGCCCAGCTCTGCGGCAGTTCGACGATTCATCAAAGACATACACGCCACCATTCATTTCCATCCGGAGTCTGGAGTTTTGCTGCTCAAGACACACTCTAGTCGACCTCTTATATACGAGCAAGGCGATGTGGACAATGATGATTTGATACTGGACATGTTGGGCAAGGTCAATACATGCGTTCTGCGGCGACAACGGAACTTCCTTCGCTTTGGCCAATACCGCTTTGCTCTTGAATTCCTCGTCAAAGACGACGACTTGAGCAGAGTCAAAGCGCAGCTCGACGAGAATCTTGGTTGCCGCTTCAATGGTTCCCGACCCTCTCAGCTGCTCAATTTTATTCCCATGCAGCATCCTGAGACGTCTTGGAATGTATGGCTGCATCAAAAGATTCCAAACACTTCTATAACATCTGGGGTAAATATCCATACTGGACAGCCAGTTGCTGTTAAAAAGTTGCAAATAACGGCTAGATCACGGCAGCACACTCTGCACCGGTTGCAGCTCGCATGCCAGTATAAAAGCAGACCGGACAAGGGCGTTCTCGGCATAATTGACGCCTGGTGCGAACACAAGACATCGCCGCCATGTCTCTTCAGCGAGGCCGAAGCCTCTCATCGCTGTAGGCGTTTATTCTATTCCATGCCTCTCGCTGAACACCATTTTCTCAACATGCCTTGGAAGAAGATAGACACAAACACTCGTCTTCTTTATTTCCACCAGACTTTAGTAGGGCTAGCCGAACTGCATCGACAAGATGTTACGCATGGAAATATCCTGCCCGAGTCGTTGCTTCTATTGCCTGGTACTAAGCCCACGCCAATGACGGATCGCTCTCTGCCCAGAAAGGCGGTTATCTCCCTTTCTATGCAGCGACTAGACAAGCCCAATCCGAGCGTCTGTGTCGCTCCAGAGGTTTGGCGAAATCAGAAAACCGTGGATGGACCGAAAGTTGATGTCTGGGCACTCGCTGCTTCTTGGCTCTTCGCTTTCGTGCGACCACCAAGCGGTATCAAGATCACCAAAGCATCCTACCAAACCCTGCAAAAAACTCTGGATACGCAGATTGAAAAGGGCTTTATGAAAGAGTCATTTGCAGCCCTTTTACGGCAGATGCTAGCCTGGGAACCCCACGATCGACCGAGCACGACGGAATTGCTTGCAGATACAACATGGGAATCTGTGCTGGTACATGCACAGTCGATTGAAGATAACAAGAAGCGAAAGCGAATGGAAAAGATGCAACGCACTCCTAGCCAAGGGAGGAGAGTCAGGTTACTCTCTCCAGATGTAAATGATTGAAGATGAGATGGGCTACAGCGAGTTCTCAAAGGACTTTACTGTAATTTCGACTTCATCACCAATACCAAGCAAAACTACATTCCAAGCCCGTGCTCGGTATCATCAACTCATTGATTACAGCTTGTCATTCTTGATGGAAAGGCTGATCGCTGAGTTTGGCCCATTCTGCAACTTATAATGCCAGGCTCAAGTCAAGTCGCCTTTCGCTGTAGCTTATCTATGCACTCCATGAGATTTGGGTGCTGATATGCTGCAAAGTTTGCCTACTTAGGCTGCATAGAGAGTTTGAAGCCATTGCAAACGATTCGACTCTCGTTGACATACATTAGCTACACCCACGCAACGCGCATTTGCCTTGTATAGTCAATGCTGTCCGTGCCAATTGCAGGATTACTTACGTATCCATCGTCGATAATCAGCTATGTATGGGATTCTGTTTTAGTCAATGTAAAGGAATCTTTTCTGCTTGTTACATCTGCATCACGCGACCAACTCATTTTGATTCATCTGCTTCGATGTTATGGCACAGCCACATGCGACATGGATGTTCTCCTCATTATTTCCACTACCATGTGGAGTAGTGAGACCAAAGTCTTACAGAGCATCGTCGATGAGTCAAAGACAATGTGGAGAATAAGTCTCGCAAGGGCTGCTGATATCTGGAAGAGCTAAACCGTGAAGTCGATAACACCAAAGGGCTTGGTAACCTGTGATTGGGAAATTAGTTTATGCCACATCACTAGACAGCAAATGTCTCTCAATTAAGAGCTTAATGGCCGGGTATCTATAAAAAAACATGGGATTTGGCACGGCAATACTTGCAAAGAAGAAGAACAAAATGAGCATTTGGGGGAGTTGGAAGTCTACCAAGTTACAGATTTAACAAACTACAAGAGCCAACATCTGCTGTAATTGACCTTTGTTCAGAAACAACGAATTATTGAGGAGCAGCGTATTCATTTCCTCATTGGCGGTTTGCAGATAAGCATCCTTGTCCCGTCGTCTTTGTTAACGACTTTGATTAGTTATTCCAAAAGAGACGCTTTTATTCAACCCTTCTGATGTTTGCCGTATGGAACTTTTTACACATGCCATTGACTGGCACAGAGGTTGAACAGCATCGGTGAGTCCGAGTCTCATTCCCTTGAACAGCAATAATATCTGAGCCGTTGTGGGCACAATGCAACTCTGCTAACCCCTCATAGCTAGCATGCTTACTACTCCGCAGCTTCCCCTCAATTGCTCTGTGGGTGTTCTCCCAACAACTGGAAGGCCAGCCGCGAACCAGCCCCCGGTACTCTGTACTTTCACAGGCATTGAACTGATATCTCAAGAGCTGCTGATTCCTTTCACTGTGTTAAGGCTAACACGGAAATTAATGCCTCGTTAGGTGGTGCAATGTTAAAATTTCTTTGAACTTACACGTCAGAGGGCGGGCAGCTTCACCCAGTTGTTTACAATCGCTTAATAACGGTCGCCTACAATTACTCAGTAGCCAGATATCCCCAGGTGCCCTTTTCACGTATATATATGAGAAAGGCAGTGAATCAACCGCTGGCGAAGATCGATAGAATCGTTTTGCTAGCTGCGAAGTATTCATCCCTTGGGTAGCTGCTACTCTGGCCAAATTTCTTTTCTTGTTAGCCATTCCCAAGTCTGGGCATCACCTCCTTCCTTATTTTAAAGAAAAAAGAACCTTTGTTGTTCCCATTCCATTCAACGGGTACTTTATTTATTTACTTTAACCCAGCACAACTTGGACATCATGATTCGCTCTTCTGGTCGTCGCATAGCGGTAAACACTCACCTTCAGAGGCAATGGATGACAAAATGTCAAAACCCTTCTCCACGATGGCAGTCTACTGCTGAAGTCCCAAATCCGTCAAAGTCCTCTTCAGGGTCCTTTGCTATCTGGGGAGCTGCCGCAGTAGTTACCACCGGAGGGGCAGTCTATTGGCTGACCAAGAAACCAACTAACAACAAGATCCCCGACGTCCCCATTCTCAAGCCTGTCACTTCGGATGCGGAAATTCCGAT